TAATTTTTATTTTCTTAGATCTCTATTTGCGTGAATATAATTAATTATATTACACTCTATCAGATAATAGCAGACATTTTAAAGTCAAATGTTAATAATAATAATAATAATATAATAACTTTATAGATACCCCAAAATAATAATAATAAGAAGATAAAGGTATAATATTAAAGTACATCAAAGAGGAAGAGGAATATTGGACTTAAAATACTGTGGGAAAGTCAAACGAAGCGTTTGAGGAACTTTTATATGAAAAATCGGCAACGAGTAAAGTACAAAGAGCAACAGTAGAATCTGGCACAAATTATACTCCGCTTAATTTGAAACAAATAGGCAAACAATTCGCTAATAATGACGAACAAAATAAGGTAAAATTGGCCAGATGGAGAAGCAAGGAACTGTATGGTAGGCATGTACATGATTTAGAACAAGCACATATTAATATTGAAGCTTCGAATAAATGGTTACAATTAGGTTATTTATTCCCGGAAAGGTTCATCAGGTCTGTTCAGGATCAGGTCATCAATACAAAATATTATAAAAAATACATAGTAAAAGAAAATATTGAATCCGATACTTGCAGAAAATGTCATCGACAATCTGAACAATAGAACGTATTACAGGAGCATGCTCTAATTTAGTTCAAACAAATTATACACCGTCATAACCAAGTAGTTCACTACATTCATTAAATAGTAGCAATAAAATACAATTTAATAACAGATAAGTTAAAACCATATTATGAGTAAGTATATCCAAATCCGAATTGTATTACGACCGCGCCCTGATAGAACTATTCACTACAATAATAAACTATTCCAAATACCCATAATATTCTTAAATCAATAACAGATGAAATTAATAAGTGCACAGACCTTAAAGAAGAAGTTACCCGTATTTGGAATCTAGATAAAACCTTCATAGTGCCGATAGTGCTCTTTACTACAGGTGTTGTACAGAAGCACCTTCATCAAAGTTTTAGAGTCCTGGAATTATCACATAATACGTATATAACTATGCAAAAAGCCGTTATTCTTAATACATGCAGAATTGTTCGCAAATTTCTCTCAAATTATGCTATTCAAGATAATATGGATATAACAATAATTTTACCCTACTTATGTGTAACACTTGGCCGTTGGTCCGTGTTACAGGAGATCTACTTGCCTCCTAAAAGAGAGAAGTAATAAATTTGGAAAATAATAATAATATATTTATTCATACATTTATAGAAAAACGTTGAGACTTTCTAGTAAGTAGGTAAGTATTTGTAGCAGAAGGTCTCACTCTTCCACAACAATAGCACGTCTCTTTGCCCAAAGATCCATCCTCCCCCCCCCCCCCCCTGAAAGAAAATTATATACGTGAGCAAACCTACTACACCAATGATATTATTAATTATTGCAAATTTAAGTGCTGATTTACAAATTGCCCGATAGTGGAAAAAAGCATCGCGAAGAAATCCTTCCTCACTCTCATAGTCCGATTGGACGGCAATCCGAGACCATTACGTCGGCCTCGGAAAGCCAGTAAATGCTTTCTGAGGCTCAGCGGTGAAACGTCTCTAACTTTCTGATTCCGTGGCTAACTAAGAATTACTTTACAGAAAAACCAATAACAAATTTTGGCCCGATCCGTGATTCTAGCCCGAAACCACCTAGATCAGTCGTTCTTACGACCACAAGTGAAATGAGGCAGTCTAACTATGGCATAGGAGGAACTATGTGCAATCTATGGGGAGGCCTATGTTCAGCAGTGGCCCTTTAGGTTAGGTTAGGACCGATAGGCGATTATGAATGCATGAGTGATGAAAGAATGAGCCTTGATATTCTATGTAAAAGAAGATCTGTAAGCAAACAATGAACAGAAAATGGAAAGAATAATATTTTACAGTGAAACTAAAAATATTGTTATTTTTAGTTTCACTGTTTCAGTTTCAGAGTTTTAAATAGATTCAAATGTTTGGCCACCAGTTTTCATAACAATATAATATTCGCACAATTGTATTTCCAAAGTTAACTTGAACAAAAGCTCGGCGCAGTGCTAGTTCAAAATAGATTAACAACTTCAATTCTGTTGTGGTCTTGTCGCTTGCACGATACGTGGTTAAACAAGTTTAGGGGGAGAAATTTAATACCTACCAAAATTACAGTAGCTTTTATTATCACTATTGTGTTAATTAATTTAACTTGGCTTGGCTATTTGGCTATTGACGACAATGTTCCGTATTAACATAGGCAAATGACATAATTAAATGCTTTTTGGAACGTAAACTATACTCTATCGTATGATGTCGCCATTGTTAACAGTGGTTAACAGTAACAGCCACGCGGCAGCTTTTGCTGTCGCACGGATGGGCCAGCTCGAACCGGGGTGGTACCACGACCTCACAGAATACCAGCGTGAAGTAAAGGTTTACCTCTGCGTTGCGCTTGGTGAGTGCAGGTGGCCGGAGGCCCAATTTCTCCCCCCCCCCCCCTCCATCAACATGGTAGTGGAATTGGAACAGAAGACTATCCCAGGAGGGTACCAGCACCCTTGGAGAATCCCTCGCTGAGCATCCACGACCAAACTACTCTACTCCTGGGCGTGGGTGCTCAGACTGCCCCGCGTATTCTGGGGGGGGGGGGGGGGCAAAATTCCGCTCGCCCGCTAATACTGCTCGGGGCAAGCGGAGCAATAAGACCAAAGCGACCCCTTTCACGCTCTCCGTGAATTTTTGCAATATCAGGGAACTTCATTCCAACCTTAACGCTGTCCATTACCATCTAGAGACGGCGAAGCCGGCCTTGCTCTTTTTAACCGAAACTCAGGTGTCCTCTCCGGCTGATACTTCATATCTCTCCTAACCGGGGTACAAATTTGAAGACTCCTTTGTGCCCTGGGCTGGACTTTGCGTATACGTCAGGGAGGACATCTGTTTTCGACGCCTCGGCAGTCTTGAAGATACGGACCTGTCCACCCTATGGCTGCGCGTAGACAGCAACGACCATCCCCGCGTCTACGGGTGCCTCTATAGGTCCCATAGCGGTAATGCCGACACAGACCGACTCATCGACCACGTCCAAATGGCTGCAGATTCCGTGCTACAACAGGTCCCATCTGCAGAGATCGTGATACTCGGTGATTTTAACGCCCACCACGCTGAATGGCTTGGTTCTCGTTTAACCGATCATGCGGTTAGATATGTCTATGACTTTGCCTTGGCATATGCTCTAACACAACTGGTTACTTTGCCTACGCGGATCCCAGATGTGGAGGATCATGTACCTTCCCTTGGACCTTCTGCTGACCTCTTATCCGGACGGATATCAGGTCTCCGTCGATGCCCCTCTGGGCTCTTCGGACCATTGTCTGATCCGGAGTACAGTGCCACTCACGCCATCGCAGTTGCGATCTGCAGCTTACCGCCGTTTGGCACAATAGGTCAGCCGATTGGGACGGGATGCGGTCTTTTTTTGCATCCTACCCTTGGGGGCGGGTTTGCTTCTCGCCCGAAGATCCCAGCGTTGTTGCCGATTCTGTTGCTGATGTGGTACTTCAGGGTATGGAACTTTTTATTCCATCCTCTGTGGTGCCCATTGGAGGCAGATCCCAGCCATTGTTTGGTCGCTCCTGTAAAATAGCATCACGCTACAAGCAGGAGTGCTACCAGGCCTGGGCTGACGCATCAACGTCCCGGGATGTAAACACCAGCGCTCTTAAAAAGAAGCATAATTCCGCCTCCAGGTCCTTCAAAAGTGTCATTGCCAATTGGCGAGAAACTAGTTCGCCTCCCTTCGGGAACATGTGCATTCTGGTCTCTCGCCAAGGCTGTCCAAGGGAACTTCTGTCAGCCATCTCTACCATCTCTGCACAGGGTGGACGACTCACTGGCCCATGACGCAAAGGAGAAAGCCGATCTGCTAGGCTCTCTTTTTGCTTCCAACTCGACTAGATGACGGGGGGAACACACCGCCGACGATCCCGCGGTGTGAGTGCTCCATGCGGGAAGTGCTGTTTACACAGCGCTTGGTGCGTAAAGCACTCCTCTCCCTGGACGTCAACAAGTCGAGTGAGCCTGATAGAGTCCCGCCTATTGTGCTGAAGACGTGTGCTCCGGAGTTGGCAGCGGTTTTAACGCGTCTTTTTCGGCCACTGTGCGATTCAGAAGGAGTTTTCTCCCTCGCACAACTTCCTTGTGGAATCGATTACCACCAGCGAGTTTTCCGGACCGATACGACTTAGGGACCTTCAAGAAAAGAGCCTACTCCTTTTTAAAAGGCCGGCAACGCATCTGCGATTACCAGGGGAATTTGTTTGATTGCAGTTGTTCATGGTCGGCGGTAGTCACTTACCATCTGGTGAGCCGCATGCTCGTTTGCCCCCTCCTATAAAAAAAAGAAGTCCCCCGTGACCACGGTTGCTGGAAAGCAACCGAAACGTCGTGAAAATAAAATAAGTAAATTAAACGCGATAAAATCCGTAAAAATAGTTTTATTCAATGTGTAGTGTTCGCGTAAATATAAGAAATCATTATAAAAAAAAAAAGAATCTATAACTCCTTCTCGCAAAACACAAAACACACCAACATTAGATCAGTCTTGTAATCTTGTTCAACTTATCTCAATATTTAATATTATTAGGAAGAGCGGTGCCTGGAGGAAACAGGTACTCTTTTATACTTACTAGGAGGCTCCAATTACTGTATTATTTAGTATGCCATGAGAAAGAAATAAATAGTTTTTTTATTTTCATTTTCATTCATTTCATTTGACTAGGAAATTACCAGCTAAATCAATCAGTCTCAATGAAATGTAGGTGCAATTATCCTAAAAAATATTGTCAAACCAAAAGATCTAGGGCGATGACAGGTAGGAGCGACTAGATTGAAAAGTACAATCGCTAATGCACTTGCCCAGTGTTCGACCGCAAATTTTATCTACCACAGCTCTATTAATGGACTGTTGATGGCGATATAATGATGCAATAAAATAAAATATATCTATTTTTTTTTACAGAATGGCCTTAATGCCCTTCATCTCGCAGCAAAAGATGGTCACATATCTGTAGTGGAAGAGCTTCTTAAAAGAGGCGCGACTGTAGATGCTGCTACAAAAAAAGGTTTGCAATTTGATCTTTATAATTTATAATAATCGTTGGTGCGTTAGTGATCTTGCAACCCACGATTGAGTTCACAGTCATACAATATGTTTATTTTGTCGAAATGGTTGTTCATAGCTATGCTGGGACTCGATTGATGGCGCTATATTCGAGTTATTAACCACTTCTGTATTTTTGGACCAAAATGACTCATTTTCACAACATGTTGATTAGGTGCCATAAAAGAAAATCAAATAATTTGAATCAGATAGATGCGGTCGAGTTGTTTATAAATTTTATATTTACCCTGTATAATTACAGTCCCGAATGAATTCGGTACAAAACTCAATGTGCCTTCTACCGGAAAGGTGCAGAACAATGTCTGGGGGGCAAGCTAGTATTATTCAGAATAATAAGCCAATTTGTGAATTATTATTTGTACTTTGTCCGTGGCTTTCGCGAATGATGGTATAATTTATAGTACACCAAAAGCTGCAGATATATTTCTTTAATAAAGATGCTATCACTATTGATTATAAACTTTTTCACATTCGTACAAATAAAGATTTATTAAGTTGTAATTATAGGTTAATAAAAGTGCTGGACTTGCAGTAGTTATAAGAATTACGACATCCGTACGCCGGTAATTATTCCTATGGCTTGCGAGAGTTGCGAAACTGGAGTGTTTTTATTCTTTTTATCGGAATAATTAACAATTTTTATGGAGTGGATATTAGTGGAAAGACAACTAAGAATTTTAATGGAGAATTTTTATCGGAACCTTATGACCAGATTTTGAGTCCTTTGCTGAACACGGAATTTCTTAAGATTCTACCAGGTAGCATGAATGTTATTCACCTTTATTCTTTAATTAAACCTATTATTATTGTCATAATTGGATGAATAATTTATTTTTATTCAATAGATTATTATAATTTATGTTGGTTTGACCAATGCTTTGATAAATTTTATTGTGATCGATAAGGTATAGATATTTTTATTATCTAATCTTATTCATTAAACATCATTAAGTTTTAATTACGAAATAATATATGAAAATCCCGGTATGTATTAAGTTAGAAACAATAATTTACGAGCGACCGAGCACCGAGCCTAATGGCAGGGTGCGGAACGCGACTCAAAAGGAACCACACCTAACATAAGCGTTTTAAGCTTACTGAGAGAGGTTAAAGGGAATATTTTTTTTTATAGAATAAAGGTGACAAACGAGCACACATTCCACCTAATGGTAAGCGGTGACTGTGACCCATAGAAATCTATATCTATCCTCGTTTGCGAATCAAAATGCAGATGCGTTGTCAGCCGTGAGGACTAAGATGGAATGCCTCATTTCCCGTAAAAAGGGTCTCCGGTTCTCTACACTCACCATACGAAACACAGCGGTGTTAAGCTGCTATTTTACGCTGGTAATCTGTGAGAGCGTGGTCCTCCCCCGGGCGAACCATTCTTGCTACAACTATACTACTAATATTAGTGCTGTTAATAGCATTCGCTAGTATTTATTTAAAAAATTGATTGAATGATCATAAAATGATATAATATAATATTGCTCTTTGGAGGAATTACCGACATTACAGAATGTATGTCACTATTTTTGATATACAATGTATTTGTAATTTTTGCCACATTCTTTTGTATGTATCACATGTATGTGAAATAACTATTAGAAATTTTACATATTCCAGGCAACACAGCTCTCCACATAGCATGCTTAGCGGGTCAAGAAGATGTGGCTCGGGCACTTCTTGGTGCGGGAGCGAAGGCCGACGCGCAGTCCGCGGCTGGGTTCACTCCTCTGTATATGGCGGCGCAGGAGAATCACGCAGGCTGCGTCAAAATGCTGCTGGCAGCTGGCGCCAGCCAAACCCTCGCAACAGAGGTAAATTCATTTCAAATAACATGTTTCAGTCATGTCCATGTATTGTTAGATGGACTATTGTAACTTGAAAAAATACTTACTTAAATTGCTAAATATTTATATTAAAATGTTGTTTTAATAATATAAAGCTAATTTTGTAGCCGTGGTAATTCATTGGCAACGCCCTCGAAATAAATTTCACAGCAAGCGAGCAATCGGGGTTCAACTCCCGCCAACCCAAATTATATTGTTAATTGCAAATTTAAGTATATACTGATTTACCATGTTGTGCTGGGTGGTGAAGAAAAACATAGTTAAGGAACCTCCTTGACTGAAGCATGAAACGAAGATTTCGAGGACATATGAAGTCCGCCTCCATCACCCTCTTAGAAGTGAGAGAAAGCCTATGCCTATATGATCATATAAAGACTGGTGGTGACGGCAAGATAGTATAGGTACATCATCTCATCTCATTCCGTTGTTCTCGTAAAAGTCAACTGAATGAAAACCGATAGGGGCCAAAATTAGATACGGTAGAATTTCAAGCATAATATTAGGTACAATTATCTCGCCCATGAAGCGTGCTGTGGTAACCTATAATTAAGACGACATTTTGTTTTTATTGCCAGAATAAACATATTTTACTATATAATTTTAGTTTGGTGGGTTTTCTAAATGAAATAAATAATCCTAAAATTTATTATACCTAGGTTTTATCAAAGAACAGTAAGCGTGCCAATTAGTAATGGAACTGTAGCTAATTTTTATTATTTTTGATGGCCTTTAAAAATTACAAAAAATGTAATTTCGTTTCATGTATAAAGATAATTCAAAGATATGTCATTTCATTTTTAATCTTAAATTTTAACTATATATCTTTGTTTGGTACATATTCTATAGTATAGATTTTGGAGGATGTGCACAAATAGTATATAAACAATTTCATCTTTCACCTTTCGTCGTTCGACAACCAGACTCGGTGGTCTCGCTGGTTAGTCTCCATTTCTTTGTCGTCTACCTAAACCGTGTCCGATCATAACGGTATTTCTTTGTTCGGTATACGTAGTGATTACAAGATGGACTTTAGCAAGGAATGAGGGAATAGTACGCTTTATATTTGCTGCATGCTACATGCTGCATGCTCTTACCATTCGCTGGAATTGAGTATATTTGTTAGAATATTTAATTTTCTAACATATATAAGTATATATATAAGTAAAAAACTACTTCAAAGACCTAAAAATAATAAAACAAATTCCACATAATGGGATTATGCAGTGCTAAGTATAGTGTATGGAAGAATTAATGCTCTCTAAGCTTTTAAGTTCCTTAAACTCTTACATCTTACTAAAACTTTTGAGTGAACTATCAAATATAAATTAATATACGCGATAAAATCCGTAAAAACTAGTTTTATTTAAGAATTTAAGTAACTTAACTTAAAGTAACTTAGCGGCCAGCCTCCGCAGAGTCTACTTCACCTGAGGATGCCTCGTGTAGAGGCGAAACACGTGTCGTATTTGCGAGAGTGGTGTGTCATGCCTAGTGTGCTGGTGCTGGGGGTGGTAGTGCTGGGATTAACGGTGACAGGTATAGTGCGCTCGATTGAGGGAGGGTGGGAGGTCCCCTTAAAACTGGGCAGGACACATCATTTTCTTTCTTTGCGCGGAATTAAGCAAATTAGTTTATAACAACCCCATTATAATGTATTTCCGCAAAGTAACGCCTGATTCTATCAAAACCTATTTATTAAAAATCTTTAAAATCGATTCACTATTCGGTTCTTTACTGTAGGTTTTTTTTTTAATTTGTGAACCTTCTTTTTTATTCGGCTATTAGTATTATGTTTATAGTTAGTTACGATGATAAATGCAGTTATAACAGCCACAAGAACATAACTAGCATCAAAATTAAAATCTTTATTCTTCTTTACAGGATGGATTCACTCCCTTGGCGGTAGCGATGCAGCAAGGCCACGACCGTGTGGTTGCAGAGCTCCTGGAGTCCGACACACGTGGCAAGGTGCGATTGCCTGCACTACATATCGCTGCAAAGAAGAACGACGTCAAAGCGGCTATGCTTTTACTCGAGGTACGTTTATAATCTAGAATTTTGAATTTAGGATGATGTTAGGATCCCTCATGAAGTTAAGATTATTTATTTATTCTTTATTGCACCGAAATCCAGTACAAAAGGCTAGCTTAATGCTACATAGAATTATTTACCAGCTAGGTTAGATTCAATATCTCTAAAATAACAATTAATTTCCGTATTGCTTATTCTAAATTTACTTGTTTTGCCCCCAAAATACTTTGACACACTTTGCTAACAAACTCTAAATCTAAAACTACACATTGCATTGTTTTGTTAGACGGTAAATCGTTACAGCCTATCAAAGGTCCGCTGCTGAACATAGGCTTTCCACATATATTGCCTCTTAGGGGGAATATTTGCCATAGTTCCACGCTTGGCAAGTGGACTGGCAACCGCATTACCCACTGAAATTGTGGCTTTTAGGTGTCACTGTGCGCGCGCATCGTAATAACTTCATGGTGTCGTTTTTGGTGTCGGTGTGCGCGCGCATCGTAAAAATTCTCTCTCATTATTATATACAATTAACCAATTACTTCTTCACCATCGCCATCATCACCATCAGCCTCCGTTAGTTCACTGTTGAACATAAAAAGACAATACCTTACTTAAACTTTATTACAATTTTTTCACCTAGGATTGGATTACAGTAAAGGAATAAAATACAAAAACTTTCATATCAGTAATCAATAAAGCTCACTATTGATAAAAAATTGAAATTACAGAACGAACACAACCCGGACGCTTGTTCGAAGTCTGGATTCACTCCACTGCACATAGCGGCACATTACGGCAATGTGGGCGTCGCAAAGGCGCTTTTGTCTGCCGGCGCGGACTCTGGGCGAGCGGCGAAACACAACATCACCCCCTTACACGTGGCCAGCAAGTGGGGACAGCTGGCCATGGTCGATTTGCTCGTTGAGAATGGTAGGTTTTGCTTTGAATATTAGCTTTAGCGCTCTCTCAAGTTACCAGATTATGATATTAAATCCTAGAATAAATGCCAAACTAATATAAAGGCGCCTGCTCACTTGCCTGCCGCATGTGCGATCTAGGGTGTACAGCGATCGGTACAATATCAGAACTATCTCTACACTCATGCCTGCCGTTCAGTATGAGAGTGTACGTCTCTCTGGACACACGCGTTATACACATAGCCTTGGCTCTTTTTTATATAGAATAAGGATGACAAATGAGCACAGTCTTCCTGATGGTAAGTGGATACTGTGACCCATAGACACTTACATTTATCGATAAAACAACTAATTAATTAATAATTACTACCATAATATAGTGCTTAAAAGCTGCAACATGGCTCTACCTCATTTAAAAACGTTACCACGTTCAAATAACGTTGTTTCTGCGGTGTTATTGGAGAAAAAAAAGACAAAAAGGAGATACTGGGTGAAGACGCCGCTCTTTATACACTTCTATCACCAGTGTCCAAATTTCACATTCTTTATTGGTATCCATTGTGACTTGTACTGACACGTGTGTTCCGTGCGAAAGTCGCTAACGAACTGATTGCAATTGCGCTACACACGCGGCAGCGGCAGCTATGGTCTAGGGAGCAAGGAAGGTCTTGCGCCCCTGCCGCCCTGCGGCAGGCCTGACTGAGGATATTACCCCTGGTTGCATACACACATCACAATTAAGTAGGCAATTAACGGTCATCCCCACTGCTACACCCTAGATTGCCCCTGCGGCAGGCAAGTGAGTAGCCGCCTTAAGGTGGCACAAGTCGCGGGCTCGAACTCGCTGGTGGGCGCGGCCAAAAAGCACGCTGTCTCACCTGGCATCGTGCCCGACAGAGATAGTATCAGTGATGAGCATATCGACACTAGTATTCACGCATGTCTTGTTCGTACGGTGTTCCGAACCGTTAGAATAAAAACGAAGTTACACGAACACGATGCAACATCTATACTAATATAATAAAGCAGAAGAGGGTTTTTGTTTGTTTAAACGTGCTAATCTCTGGAACTACCAGTCCGATTTGAAAAATCTTTTTTTGGATATTATAGCCAGATTCATGTTGAATAGTATAGGCTATACAGCATTAGGCTATATATCTCAGCTAGCCTATATTTGTTAAGGAAGTCAGAAGAAAAAGCGCTGTTATGGTTCGGGATACGTAAATACAATGTTCTAGAAAAATATAGACCTTTACTCCGTCTAAAAAAAGTCCGCGATACCATATGTCTATTTCTTATATATAAGCCACAATTAGGCATTTTGTGACAAAAAAAAATTAAAATTTAATTATTAGGCACCTTACGAACCAAAGTTACTTCATTATCAAGACAATTTTATGAAGATAAACTTCGTTCTTTATACCATGTTTATATAGTACATAGTTTAAGAGATAATGTAAAATTAAAATAATTCAATACCTACTTGGCTTGACGCGCAAACAACGCATAACCCCTAGCCCGGTGCGAACTGAGAAGCCAGTATTGAAAGCTTCTATGAGCGAGGTTAGGTTAGCCGTTAGTTCAATCGTTATCTATATATACACAAATAAATAAAATTGAAGTGTCTGTTTGTAATGTCAAAATAACAGCTTTTTACTAATTGCGTATGAAACCGTATACGGTACTTATAACATTAACACAATTTTTAACATTTTTGTATGTCTGTCAGTCTGTTTGTTGCGGTTAATTTCCAAAACGGCTGGACCGACTTGGGCGGGACTTTCACTAGTAGATAGCTCATGTTATAAGAAGTAACTTAGCCTGCTTAAATTTTAGAAAAATTATTAGGTGTCTTTGCAACAATATTAACGCCCTAAACTAAACGCGGACGAAGTCGCGGGGTACAGCTAGTAGCTAAAATAAATTCAAAATTAATTGAGTACTTTTATCTATCTCCCGGGTGAGCGTAGCAATGATTAGTTACATCTTTATTTCTGAACTCTTTCATTTCACGTTGCTATGGTATTTTGAAAGTTTAAATTTAATTAATTAATAAGTATAAGAGGTTGATAGCAAATTTATCAAGAATCATTTCTTGCCTACACACTTTTCATAAATCGTGTACGTTTTTCTTTAAAACTGGAAAAAACCGCGCATAATATGCCGACAGATAAAATAAAAGTACTCCATTAATCATGACAATTTTTCCATACGTTACAATCAAATAAAATATTTGATTGCAATTATAAAATGCTTGAACTAGGTGTCATGTCATGCCACGCATCTCGGACACGTGATGACGCGGGTGAATCCACGAAATTATTAGGTATATGTCTGTGGCTCTATATACCTAATATAGATTGCTTATTTTATTATGTTTAGTTTTCCCCGAGTGGTCATGCAGCAATCACTCAAGATTTCGGCTTCGAACGTGTGTAACTCGATAATTATCCCACGGCAACGAAATACCTGAATAAACGGTATCATATATGATATTTGGCAGCTCCGTGGCGCAGTGGCTTAGCAATGAATTGTTGTACTGGGAGCCGCGGGTTCGAATCAATCGAACAAGTATTTGTATGGTCTACAAATAATTGTTCCGGGTCTGGATGTTTGTAAACTGCCTCCACGATACAGGAGAAAATCCTAGTGTGGGGTAACGTTTTTTTGAAAAAAAAAATTCCGGACTATAGCCTATCTCTGAGCAAAATATCATCCAGATCCCTTCAGCCGTTCTGGCGTGATTGAGTAACATACATCCATTCATCCGTCCATCCAAATATCCAAACTTTCGCATTTATAATATTTAGATAATAATCGTAATTGGTCTGCCTACCTATAAATTGTTTTCAAAAATACTTACTTACCTGGCTTCTTATTTTTTTATATACAATTTTGTGGCCACGACGCGGCGAGGTTTTGTGACATTTTGTTGTATTGTTGATTGTAGGTATCTAGGTAATAACAGTAGGTACCTATGAAAATCCTACATAATATACTTTGTTTATCCGCCGCAAAAGTCGTCTAATAAATAATTAAACTGTTTTGTAATTCTTTATTTATTTATAACACTTGCATTGAGAGCCGTGGTAGCTCAGATGGTTAGCGCTCGCTGTAAGTATCACATTACGCGAGCAACCCGGGTTCGATCCCCGTCGGCACCAATGAAATTGTTGCAATTTTATATAGTAATCGAATATAGACTTTACTTTTTTTTACTCTTATAATTATATTATATTACAGACGAAAATTTTAAAATATTGTCTGTCGTCCAAAACGCATCATCTCTTTCAATTATATCAATTTCCATGCCGTCTTTTGTCTTTGGCGTCCAAATTACAAAATAGCAAAACTTTTCGTTTCGAATAAAACTCGAATACTTATAAGCGCGCGTCACCGCCTGTGCATGTGTGTGTAAGCATCGTCCTCCCGCACCGCACCGGGGGAGACATTATTCAGTGAGATGCACGATAATTCATAGTAACATGCGCGCGTAAAAAAATACGAAAAGGCCTTTGGAAGAAGGGGTTTTATGAAAAAACCACTGCATTAATCAATTACAAATAAAATTTATTGAGTTCTTCGATAATTTACCTGTGTCGGTACCGACTTTGTTTTGGAAATTTTACACTTCTTTTATTACTAATTTACGCCCAAAGTTGTGTTAAAATTGGCAATAAAAACGAATCTTTGGTAGCTCGTAACTTTTTAATAACATTTTATTTTACTATTCTGTTTCCGTACAGACAAATTTAATAATGAGACAAAACGATATCATGTTTAATTTTGGATGTACACTGTCAAACAGCGGAGTAAAACCCCTCCGAAATTTCTATGGAAATAACGTCGACTAGTGTCACCTTAAGCACTGCAATGTGACCTTATATAAAATAATATACAATAGTGTTGTGTTTGAATACTATCGCTAAAGCTGACTGAAGTAGTTAAACATAGTAGATATAACGTCATGTATAGCACTGGTAGTATTAATATAGTAATTAATATATTAAATAACGTATAGTTTGTATAAGAAGAACTATTTACTTATTTTGCCACAAATAACTTTTAGGAAATAGGGCTTCTTCTGTCCATAGTAGTCCAACCTAGATGGATATATTTTCTTTTTATAAGACTAAAGTGACAAATGAACTTATAGCTTACTGACGGTAAATGGGTACTACAGATCATGGACATTTGCAACCAAATTTAAACAAAGAAGGCTACAGGTGCATTGTGACAGATCTGCTTGTTTTTTAACCAGGGATTGCAAACCTTTTTTCTGATTTTTTAAAGTTAAAAATACTTTTAATAATAGTATTTAGTCTACTATTTTAAATGTATTAAGTATAATAAGTAGTGTTTTTAATTAGTAATTGAGAGGAAGAGAGGGGTTTTAAGTTACATACTATTTCTAGTGCAGCGTAATTTGTTTCGCTTAATAATTAACAATGACTTTCTCTTGGTGGTATTGGAAGGTGAGGCTCGACCATCGTCACCGAGTTTATTGAGTGACGGTGTGAGACAATTTGGTTCGCTAAAAAGAAAGCCATGTGATGATCAACATTATCATCTTGATAATGTTGATGCGAAAAAAGTCACATCTAGACAAAATAAAGAGACACAGGTATCGTCACAGGATATTCAGGATGCAAATTTATATAAACGCAACATTTTCGATTCTAATGAGTATAAATGTGACGTATCACAATTACCCGATTTTGAAAACGGGGAACCAACTGACCACCGAAACAATGCGTTTGCTCAACTGATCACTTACGAATTAGATCTTGTTCCAATGAAAAAAAGATCTGTAACATATGTTAATATAATAAATCTTGTGAGGAAAGTACGTCACCAATAGGATGTGGACGACATAAGTTTACCCAACTAAGAAGATTCGGAATAATGTTTGTGGCATAGGTACGTTGTGAGCCTACATGTTGTTTGATGATTGTTGATATTATTAAATAAGTATAATGAACACTTTCGTAGTTGAAGTTTTGTTTAAGTACCTACTCTCACAAGTATGCGAAACAATGATTACCAATAGGAACGGTTTTAACAATCCAAGATGTTGGATTTTATTAATAAGCCGTTTTCGTTTTTATTTTCTGGCTGTTTTTTTTTCCTTTTTACACTAGTGATGATGAAGAATATATAAAAAAAACTAGCGAATCATATCAACGCAGCAAAATGTTTAACTATCAACTATGAAATGAAGATTGCTCGTGGTATGAACCTATTACTGTTCTCTAATTCTATAAAATAAAATACCTAGCTAAAATAAATAATATATAAATATTTAATCCAAAAGTTTTCAATGTTGATAACCTGAGGATAGTTTTGTTATTTTTCTAAAATCATTATTTACATAAACGGAAACTATAATGATGTTGTATGTATGTAAAACATGCACATATAAAAAGTACATCCCTTTAGAATAGAAATTGGCCAAGTTATGGCTAAAATATAATTTACGCCGATCGGTGTCATCCGCCTAAGAATGACAATTTTAATTACGCCGTTTTTCGTGCGCCGCAACGAATGGATTAATCTCTAAAACTATAAGTACCAATTTCATCATTTCTCGCGGAGATCTAAACTGATTTGTTCGCATATTGCAAAATTTACTGCAAGCAGACAAAAATATTTAATTGATTTATTTTAAGTTGATACACAACATGCTTGAAGTTGCTGCCAAATGCCAAACGAAATGTCAGTTTCACAGCCCTATTCTTATCCTGCGGACATTGTATTCTGAAATAGAAGCAAACCTCTCTATCATTATTTCTTTCTTACTATTGTTTTTTTTTTCATGTGCTAATATCGCGAAAGCAAATCTGTATATTTTTTCATTTTTCATTTTTGTCTCTTTTAGGTGCTAACATCGCGGCAGTGACTCGGGACGGTCTGACTCCGCTCCACTGCGCCGCGCGCTCTGGACACAGCAACGTCGTATCACGTTTATTGCAACATGGCGCGCCCATCACTAGTAAAACTAAGGTAATTGATTGACCACGCGTTGCTAAAATTACCAGGGAGAACAGAATCTATCACCTATTTTGTACCGTGGGAGACGTGTTATGGGAAATGGCATATAGGTTCCGATAAATGGCATTTATATACCGTTTAAGCCAGACGTAAAATATCCAGACTGGTGACGCGCAGCCACGTTAGGGGGGCGAGACGTCCTGGTTCTTCGATGGTTATTCCACCTGCCAAGCGTGGCGAATATGGCGAATTCTCTCTACAACAGAAGTGGCCCATATGGAGCAGTGCAAGTTTACGGGCTGAGGAAAAAGTTCAAGAAGTATGTTTCCATTCATTGAGTATGGTTTTTTTTTCTTCTCTTACTTCAGTAGGCTTATAATTCCAATAAACTGTTTGATATAGACTTTCGTGTCAACTGGCGTGTATTACTTGAAATACAGGCGGGGGAATAGTGGGCGCAATGCATTATACCTACTCATTGGAAATCCAGTTCACCATCTCAAAGACTAGGGAATTTGTTCGTCATTTTTGAATGAATATAAAATATAAAGTAAATTGTTTTAATCTTTCACAAGTGTAAGTTAAATGGAATATTAGTAATGTTAATAGCATTGCTAGTATTTAATTTAAAAAAAATATATAAAAAAAAATCAGAGCATGAAGAACAACAATCTCGAAAAGATAGTTAAGCCTCATTAATAACTTTTACCCATAAAAGGATTAGTTAAATGCGTGTTTAACCACTCAAGCCGCGACATTAACCAACACCAACTTAGTAAAATCTATTGTCAAGCCAAAGAGTAGTAGGACAAGCCACAGACAATATTTTTGTAATGAAATTTTAAGTTAGAGTCATTACTATATTCTTATCCAAAAATAAAAAAAATATCAAGAATTAAGATATCGCATTATTTGTATTAAGGTCAAGTCAGTGCTAGAGAAACGACGATTGCAAGACGTTGTCCATAAATAAAGTGTTTTGAGAAGTTATCAATTACCGTGTAGTGGCGGCGTATGAATATCCATACCATCCCGTGGGTCTCGTAAGAGACTTAGGGTTATTTTTAAATAACCGTGACCGTCGTTCCGGTTACCAAAAATCATCGTGACTTTGTCACGTTGATACAGTTGGATAACTACTTGGAACATTAGAACTACTTATAACGTAACTTTATATATGCATTTTAGATTTAGTATTAGGTTTTTTTTCCAGTAGTCGATTTTTTATTACCTTCCTTAGCTAAGCTGGCTATGCCTACCTATGGCTATGTTATAAGTTGTATGTTATTAATTATTTACACCATCTTAATCAGTTTTTCTTTTTCTATCGATCTGCATTCTCAAAGTAGCGAAATTCTTGAACAAATGTTCTTTACTACCCAAAATGTTAGGGCTTTTAGTGCAGTTTTAATGTGATTTATGGCTGTAAATCACAAATTATTCATGATGCCTAATCGTCTAGTGGGTTAGGTAAATTTTGAGGGCAAAACAGGATTCCGTATGTGAGGCAGACCCGTTCGAAATTCCGAAACGGAATTTCGTGAACACATCACACACATACGTTTATTTCCGTTCGGAATAACAAGGGTCAGTTGAGAGAGGTTAGCCATTGAATCTAGACATTCTGCCAGCGAATAATGACAACGATTTTCTGATTACGATTCCATTTTTGCTATATCATTGTTACTGGGTGCATCCCCTTATCACCCTAAGCTAATATAGTCAATATCATGTAAAAATATCTATCTATCCAGAGATATGTTTTAAATATGGATGTCTGTAAACTCTCGAAGAATTATTAAATAAAATAAGATGAAAGGTCACGAAAAGCTATACAGCTATAAGATTGAATGTAAAAACATACATAAACACACCTACTCGCTTCGGTCGTGCGACGAACAGCGAACACTGAGCGCGTTCCGAATTTACGTATGTGTGTTGCGACTCGTACAAAATCTATGGAAAACTTGCGTTCGGAGCGGCTTTTTTCTGTTCGGGATTCCGAACGCACTGGCGGTCATACGGAATCTCGAATCGGAGAAAATTTCGTACGGAAAAATACCGTACGTGTGTGGTGGGTTATAGATTTTATATGGACTTGCTGCGTTCGGAATCTCTAATCGGAATATCGAAACGGAATTCCGTATGTATGTGGCCGGCCTGAAAGACCCTTTTATTATTATTATTCATTGATTTCACCGGGATATTGTTACCTTTTTGGATAGCTGATTAAATGGCCATATTTTTTAAAATATTTTTACGTCTCTAAAGTGTATTTTTTTTTTATTAACACCCATAATTTTATACTGTGAATACTTTTTGTATTTTTATGATTGTATTCGCTTGGTTGAAGCTTCAAGAAAATAAATGAACTTAAAAGAAAGCATACTAAATAGATTTTATTTTTATTTAGAATTTAATACAAAATTCTGGGTGATTATTGAAAAATCTTTAAAAAACCTTTTATCTCAAGACTTGTTCCTTTTCGGTCATACATATGGTGTGTCAAATTTGTAGCATTTTGACTCCCCTATCATGCCCTGCCAGGAAGTTGTCGAGTTCCCAGTAACCCTGTATAATATGGTTTTTAAGGAAGTAAATTAATTAGATTTTTGTGTTTGATTAATAACAAAACATCGTTTCATAAATTCGTACCTATGTTTTATTGAGCTAAAACATACCTTATAATTATCGCTTACCTAATATTTACAAGTACTTATATAATCAAATTAATAACTTATAAGTAGAATAACTCATAGGCTTCAATCTTGGCGCATCACTATTCAACCACTCTCAACTATGTATCAGTATTTATAAAACATCTGGTTACGCTTGGCATTATGGGCATTAAGCGATACGCGCGCTCAATGCCCATTGCCTTGTTTATTTGTTCTCTAAGTTCTTAACACTCCTATCCATGAAGCCTATGCATGAAGCAAATACAAAGTACTTTGTATTTGCTTCATGCTCTTATCTAAGTTCATGCTCTTATCTAATTGTTCTAAGTGGTTCCTTCTAAATATTACTTATTACTATACTCTTTGGCGGGGCCTATAACTTTGACAAGTAAATAACCGTTCGGTTATGTCGGAACTTGAGGGTTAAGTAGATGTTGTAGGAAAGGTGCGCTGTGAACATTATCTCTAATATTTTATGCAGGTTAAACGCTATAGTGTTCATTGCAATCTTAATCAAAAATATTCATTGAAAGCTATTGTTTTAGGTTTTCCAAATATTTAATTACAATTTGTTTTAATGTTTATGTATAATAAAACAATATTTTTTACACAGAATGGTCTTACACCTCTCCATATGTCCGTGCAAGGCGAACATGTGGAGACGGCTAAAGTACTTCTCTCAGAAGGTGCGCCAATCGATGACGTCACCGTCGACTACTTGACAGCTCTACACGTAGCCGCTCATTGCGGACATGTCAAAGTAAGATAAAACTTATTTTTGCTGCTTGTTTCATATTCATGTTTAAGAGGACTACAAGAGCTAAACGCAAATTTTATAATGCCTTAAAGTACATCATCCGCTGCAGTAAATAAAAAATATATCAATTTTTCAGGACCTATATGCTAGCTAGATAATGTGGTGAAAACATGATACTGCTAATTTGATACGATAAAAAATAATCACAAAGATGCCTCTAAAATGTTTTAACGATTAAATACCATACTTATATATATATGCAATCATTCAGATTTTTTTACTCAGATATATCTACAAACAAAATATTAACGTAATAGTGTTTAAATTTTTTAGTCTAATCTAATCAGTACGATTTTTTTTAAATCGTATATTATTATTTGTGAACATAATTCGTGCGTATTATGTTTACAAATAATAATACCTTACCTTAAATAATAATAGTACCTGTATACCGACAGTACCGGCTGAGGCCTGATGCTATACAGAAATGGTGTAAATGTGTGTGTGCGTCATTCGAGGTCAATTAGCTCTTGTAGTTCTCTTAAAGTGATTTAATTTTTTTTAGGTAGCGAAATTATTACTGGACAGAAACGCAGACGCGAATGCTCGCGCTCTAAACGGATTTACGCCATTGCATATTGCGTGCAAGAAAAATAGACTCAAAGTTGTGGAACTACTGTTGAAGTATGGTGCGAGTAAGTAATTGATTTTCTTTTTTTATTGGAATGATGTCGTTATTTAAGGTGAATCGTACGGTCTGTTCCAGGCCATATTCCCGCGAGATGGCGCTAAAGTCATAATTTTTTAGTTTATTTGGGTTTTTGTGTAATTGGAACAATATCAAGTCGTAGAAGTAGTAATCGCGGTACTCGGACATTATATTTTATTTTACTAGGTCGTATCATTGCCTCAAAATTAACACAATTCAACACAAAGTCCGAAAATAACATCTATCATTGAATATAGTGTCGTTTACACACACAGACGTGGGTGAATTCTTAGTCCCTACATTTACGAAAATTAAACACTAGATGCGTGAATGAAAAAAAAATGTTTTCCTTTTTTCTGTTAGGGTAGGCAGAACTACAGAACGTCACCTGCTACGATATACATTATGTACGATTCATCATCTGCCTAGCCTTTTTCCCAACTATATTGGGGTCGGCTCCCAGTCAAACCGGATTCAATTGAATAGCAGTATTTTACGACTATGTTATAAAAATAAAAGTTATATTTGTAGGCGTAAATAAACTATTTAATTCAATAATAATTTTGGGAAATAAATTATTTCAACACTAAGAACAATAAAACACAGTTTTATTTTATAACCTTACACTATTGAAATTATTGCTCATAACAAGTATTTAGAGTATTTAGAGAGCCGTGGTAACTCAGATGGTTAGCGCTCACTGTAAGCTTCAAAATATTCGAGCAACCCGGGTTTGATCCTCGTCGGCACCAATGAAATTGTTAATTGAAATTTTAAGTGCTGATTTACCACGTGCTCGGCGATGAAGGAAAACATCGTGAGGAAACCTGCATGTCTGAGAAATAAGAAAAAAATATTTCAAAGACATGTGAAGTTCGCCAACACGCATTAGGGCAGCGCGGTGGACAATTCCTTGCCCTAAAACCCTCTCAGAAATGAGAGGAAGCCTGTGCCCAGCAGTGGGATGTAAATAGGCTGCAACTTCACTTCAACTTCAACAAGTATTTGAAGTAACACACCTGATACATGCCTATCCACTCAAAACTAATAACACAGATGATTTGCAACATAACCAGTTATTATGCAAATTTCACATTACATAACACGTAAGAAACTATTCATAAACAAGAGATAACAACAAATCTAAAACACGATTTAGTATGCGATAATAACCAGGAAGAAATATTTCCTCATTTCAAAGCAATCACAACTACAAAAGCTTTAATGAAACAAAAATCTGAACTGCAGCTCATTGAATTGAGCAGGTGGTTATACATAGCTAATGAAGTATTATTCCACCCTTTGATTTTATAGTAAATACAAAATAAAAAGAAATATACAACGATAATGTGGAATCTGAACAAACTACTACAAAAATGCATTTAAAACTTTTTTTTATTATTTATTATAGTTATTAAAACAAAAAACATTTGACTTGTTGATTATTTTTTTATTAGATTTGTTTTAGGGCAAGAAAATATCGGTCGCGGTGCAATTAACAATTTCATTGATGCCGGCAGGGATCGAACCCGGGCTCGCGTACTGTGAAATTTACAGCGAGCGCTAACCACCTGAGCTACTACGGCTCGTACATTAGTTTACCAATTTTTGAACATTATACTTACATTTATTTCTATGCTATTTTTATATAGCTTTATATTTATTATTATTATATTTATAAATATTTTTATAATAAATGAATAATTATAAATCTAATAAACAAAATTAATAATAAATACATAACTATTATTTTCATCTGTTATCCAAGGACCAATCAACTAAAGAAATCCAGGTCACAAACACAAATCACAAACGATACGATGCGACCTTGAGCTTGGTACTATAACAAAATAAAACAAACTAATAATAATGTGTGTCTGTCTGAAACTGTTTGCAAAATGCGTAATAGATATTTTATCTATATTTTGCAAATGTTTGCAAAATTAATTTTGTGACTTTGGTGGCTTACCGATTTATAATTTTATTTATTGTTGACCAAAAACATATTCAAACAAATTAAAATATGAAAAACTGCCTTTGTAGTTTTGTACTCAACACCGACACATATAACGTAGGTAATTAATTAATATTGAGACGAGATTTTGGCCGTGTAGTGGCGGTTAAGAATATCCACTACCTCATATCTTCCCGTGGGTGTCGTAAAAGACGACAAAGGGAAAAAGGCAGGATAAGCAGCAGCATCGTCCTGATAACAACAAACTTACAATAAAAAAAAACTGCGGTTGCCAACCCGCTCGCCAAGCGCGGCAACTATGGCCCCCTTTTAATAAGATTAACAAAGAAACTACCCCCAGTCTCCGGTGGCCCCGCTATTTCTGGCTACGGTGGCGACCATGGTAATGGCGGGGCAGGGGGTGCTAAGAATCTCCGGTGGAGGTTCGGTTGCCACCTAAGACGACTCGATCTGACAACATACAACACACGCACCCTGAGGACTGACGAAAAGATCGTGGAGCTGGAAGAAGAGATAGACAAGTTACGCTGGCATATTATAGGATTATCCGAAGTCCGAAGAGAGGGGGAGGACACAGTAATCCTCGAATCCGGCAACTTGCTCTATCACCGGGAGGGCGACCACCTGTCCCAAGAAGGTGTCGGATTTATCGTCCACAAGTCTCTCGTTAACAACGTTGTAAAGATTGAGAGTGTATCGACGAGGGTTGCGTACCTTATACTCAGAATCACCAAACGGTATTCGCTAAAGGTCATACAGGTTTACGCACCAACCTCGGCACACCCCGATCAGGAGGTGGAGGAAATGTATGAGGATATCTCTAGAGCCATGCATTCCTCCAAAACCCAATATACGGTGTTAATGGGAGACTTCCATGCAAAACTAGGCACAAGAGAGAAAGGTGAGCTGAAAGTAGGGAAATTTGGAATAGGGTAATGGAACCCAAGGGGCCAGCAGCTGGCCGACTTCATGGAGAAAGAGGGACTCTTTATGATGAACTCTTTCTTCCAGAAGCGGCCCCACAGGAAGTGGACCTGGTCGAGCTCCGACGGTTCCACAAAAAATGAGATTGACTTCATTATGACGACCAGACTACAACTGTTCAGTGATATCTCCGTGATCGCGAGGGTGAAAAATGGTAGCGATCACCGAATGGTTAGAGGCACACTGAACCTAAACGTTAAGTTGGAGAGGTCTCGTCTAATGAAGTCAACGCTCCGTCCCCCTCGTGCTCTGTTCCAGAGTCCCGAAACCTTTCAGCTCGAGTTATAAAACCGTTTTTAGTGCCTAGAAGACTGCAATGAAGTGGACTATATGAATGACAAGCTCCTGGAAACTATCCATGCGGTCGGAGCTAAGTTCTGCAAGACCCGCCGCAGAAAAACACAAAAACTCTCCGATCACACTCTCAATCTCATGGCTGTTAGACGGGAGATGAAGCTACATTCTTCAACAGATTTGACAGCATACAGGCAACTGAACAGACAGATCTCCAAATGCATGCGGCGGGACTTACGCAACTTCAATACAGCTCGTATTGAAGAAGCGATCGAGCGGAACCAAGGCTCCAAAGTCTTTGCCAGAGATCTGTCTGCCAGAAAGAGCCAACTGTCAAAGCTGAAGACCGAATGTGGCAGCATCGTTTCCGGGGCACCTGAGATTTTGAGTGAGATTGAGAGGTTCTATGGGCAGCTGTTCACGTCATCGTTGGAGCCACACGCAAGTGTGAGTAACGATCTAAGAGCGAGTCTTATCCGACACTATTCCGAAGATATTCCGGACGTCAGTCTGATCGAGATTAGAATGGCTCTCCAGCACCTTAAAAACGGCAAGGCCTCAGGCGAGGATGGAATTACAGCGGAGCTTCTGAAAGCGGATAGAAGACCGGCACTTGAAGTCCTTCAGAAGCTCTTTAATTCCGTCCTCCATGGTGGCATTACACTGGAGGCGTGGAGCAGAAGTGCGGTGGTCTTGTTCTTCAAGAAAGGTGACAACGCTCTCTTGAAGAACTACAGACCGATTTTCCGTCAGAGCCGCGTCTACGTGCTGTTTTCGAGAGTCATTACGAATCGTCTCGCGCGCAGACTTGACGACTTCCAGCCTCCCGAACAAGCCGGTTTCCGAAAGGGCTTTAGCACCATAGCCCACATACATACCCTTCGGCAAGTTGTACAGAAGTCCGAGGAGTACAATTTGCCTCTATGCCTGGCGTATGTGGACTATGAGAAAGCCTTTGAATCCGTCGAAATTTGGGCGGTGCTGCAGTCCCGTCAGCGATGCCAAGTTGACTGTCGGTATATCGAAGTGCTGAAGTGCTTGTACAGTAGGGCTACGATGGCTATCCGAGTACAGAACCAGAGTACGAAACCTATCCAATTGCAGAGAGGTGTAAGGCAGGGTGACGTTATATCCCCGAAACTCTTCACCGCTGCATTGGAAGACGTTTTCAAGCTTCTGGACTGGAAAGGATACGGTATTAACATCAAAGGCGAGTACATCACTCACCTTCGATTTGCCGACGATATAGTCCTTATGGCAGAATCGCTGGAGGACCTAAGCACCATGCTCAATGACCTCAATAGTGTCTCCCAACGAATAGGTCTTAGGATGAACATGGAATAATTAATTACTATACCTTCAATAAATTACAATATATTCTATTATATTGGAATCAAATATGTACGTAATATAAATAATGCAAATTGAATTAATGAAAGTCAAACAAAAATATATAACATGCAAGAAATTCCGGGCGCAAATCCTATCGCGTGACAATCTAGAATTCAAAAGGTATTTGTATTTTATTACAGTCAAACAAGCGAAATAAGTTTGGCAACGCCGCTCTTCTTTCAACGTAGGACATGTACATAGGTCACAGTTAGGAAGGACGGCATCGTCGCATCTAATAATGGTTGCCAAGTAACAGAAATAAAATTGTTTACATTGCCGTCAAAGCTCGTCAGTTTTATGTTATTATATTGATTTTTTTTTAATGAACGGTAGGAAAGATAATAAATCAATTTTGTGTATAAGATATTGATTTATAATAATTATAATATCTTCTGCACGCCATCTAGCGTACCAATGTCTCAACTATGCCCTTGGCGCTTTTGCTTGTCAAGTTGTTAAAATTCACTCACACTACTAAAGTAGTGTCAAAATTTTCCTAGATCTTACTATTGTTTTTCTTAATAAATACTGTAAGTTATATAAAAGCTTTTAGAAAAATTTACTTCGCAAATATCCGCGTTATAAAATAAAATGATGTGTCTTACCTAATATGAAGAGCACCTCCCGCCCTCCCTTGATAAAACATGCGACCAATCACCGCGGTGATTGATCGCATGTTTTATCGCATGACGCAGTCGCTCGCTCTTTAAGTAGAGAGTGGTTGCGTCAGCAGTCTGTATAAAAGGCAGTTGTTTTGGCTCGCCGCTCACTTAGCGGTTAGCCACCGTAGAGTCTATATCACCTGAGGATGCCTCGTGTAAAGGCGAAACACGTGTCATATTATCATCAGTGGTGTATCTTGCCTAGTGTAGTGGTGCTGGGATTAGTGGTGACGGGGATAGTGCACGCAATTGAGGGAGGGCGGGAGGTGCTCTTCAAACTAGGTAAGACACATCATTTTATTTTATAACGCGGATATTTGCGAAGTAAAGTTTTCTAAAAGCTTTTATATAATGGATTTCCGCAAAGTAACACCTGATTCTATTAATTACTGTAAGTTATTTTTTAATAAGGTCAATCGCGGGCACATTTTAGTGTAGAAAAGTGATAAAATGATTAGTTTTAAACAAATAGTGTCTGTGTTTAACGTATATGTCAAAACAAAAATGTATGACGAGGCTATCGGAGCATCCACCTTAAGGAAATAACTCTGCGGCTAGTGTTTTAATTATTGTGTATTGTATATTATTACAGAATATCATAGTAATTAACTATTACTAATAAAATGTATGGAAATGACATAAGTCACGCGATTCGGCGTTATTTCATGTGTTTTAATAGTTTTTCTATAACGTTAACGATCGTAGAAAGTGATGTTGGCTAAGTCCGGTGTTTTGTGTAGGCAAATCGGCGACTACAGAGTCGGGTCTGACGCCGCTGCACGTGGCCGCGTTCATGGGGTGCATGAACATCGCGCTGGTGCTGGTGGGCGCGGGCGCGGACGCCGACGCCGCCACCGCGCGCGGCGAGACGCCGCTGCACCTCGCCGCGCGCGCGCACCAGACCGACCTCGTGCGAGTCTTGCTGCGCAACAACGCCAAGGTATTTTTTTTTTGGAGTTTATGGCCTGGTATCTAGACCTTTAGGCCAAGTCTTAAGTATTTTTATTCGGTTTATTGTAATTTCCCCACTCCTTCATAGTATACTGCTTCACAATATGTTGATGCGTCACATTGTGCAGTTCTTGGGAGATTTTGCGGCAACTTGATCCAGCAGACAGCTGATAGTTGGCGATGGTATCTAAAGGTGCCTATGCAAACAAACAGCTTATCTTGAGAATCCATCACCATCAGAGCACTTGTTTCACTGTTTCCACTAATAGTTCACATGCGTAGACACTTAATACACAAAATCGCAACACTTTTACATATCAAAGTCCACTTCAAACCATTATTTAAACAATAATACAGGAGCAGCAAACCGCCGCCGGTCAATTTCCCGCCAAAACTCCAACGCCAAGGTACCTTCCGCTCAGTGTTGCCACATGACGAAAATCAAATCATTGGATTGAATCCCAAAAGTCACCAGAGATTTCTAAATATAAGTAAAACAATATAATATAATTTGGCAATAAAAACCTGTACTTATTTCTTTTTTTTAATTAGAGCAGTGAACTTTAAGTATGGGGAAATCAAGTTAAGTGTCTAGGCCCACTTCAACGGCTCATACTATGAACGTACATAGCACGATAGTCATCACGCCCACTAGAACTTATCTACAACGTATACCCGCTCTTATTTACCCATCGCTAAGGCAAATAATTGAGAGTGACGACCTGGTAAGACATGCAGGAAGTTGATGAATGCATGTGGCTCAGGACCGTGCTTTGTGGCATTCCTTGGGGGAGGCCTATGTACAGCAGTAGACTTATGAAAGGCTGTAATGATGATGATGAAGGCAAATAATAAATGTTTGGTAGCTATGGCAAATAGGCGATAATCTAAGCGGAGGTCTATGTTCAGCAAAGAATTATATATGAATAGGCTGATTACGAAAGATTGATGATGATGATCAAGATTGCAAACCACATCTTAAATTAGGAGTTAAAATGATGTGTGCAGCTGATACTTTCGTAAATATTACTTAAAAATAAGTGAGATTATAGAAATAAATTTTCAATATTATACAATAAAGAATGACAAACCAGCATAAAGTCCAGCTAATGTTACATACATCTACCACATCTGCCAACTATTAAGAATTAAAATTGACAAAAATGGAATGTCTCGCCACCAGTTAGAAGAGTACTTGTTTTATGTGGCCAAATCTTTGTTGATAACGCCAACAAAAATTTGGAAGATTAGTAGAAAAATCATAAATATCACATTCACATCATTTTTTAGTAATTACAATTATATCACAATAGTTTTTTTTTTATCGGAAAACCTCTCTGATAGATTTAGCAATAAATATGTATTGAGAGTACTTTAATCTTTTTAGGTTGAAGCGCGAGCTCGCGAAGAACAAACCCCTCTTCACGTAGCCTCTCGGCTCGGTCACGCCGACATCGCCGCGTTGCTGTTGCAACACGGAGCCGATGTCGCTGCTGCCACTAAAGACCACTACACGCCATTACACATAGCTGCTAAAGAAGGTAAAATGACTAAGTTAAAAAAAAACTATAAAGTGCTCAAAATGTATTCACGAAAAGGATGAAAAGTAGCAAAATAAGTTCTGACTGCCATATCTACAGCTATCTATAAATAGCTTTGATAAGAATAAAGATGTTCATATTTTAAACACTAGGAACAAACATAAGCTTGTAATATCAGTTACTATTACTCTATTCCAATTACAAAGTCCCATTTGACAGATGTCAATAATCAAGTACTACTCGTAGTAAAGTACCGCTATAGTCGAAACTTGACGATATTGATCTTCGATTACCATAACGAACAAATTAAAATCGTATTGACAGAAAAAGGATTAGCATCAAATTAAAATTTATAAAACTGTTTTTTAATTTTAATTAAATAATATTACATGATATTTTTATCAAGATGGAACATATTCATCATCACTAGCCGAAATCGATATTTCATGGTCGGCATCGTCGTCATCGTCATCGTGCCGTGTAGTGGCGGCGTGCCGTGTAGTGGCGGTCAAGAATATCCACTACCCCATATCCTCCCGTGGGTGTCGTAAAAGGCGACAAAGGGAAACAGGCAGGAGATGGGCAGCAGCATCTTCCTGATAATAGCCAAAATTATAATAAAAAAACTGCGGTTGCCAACCCGCTCGCCAAGCGTGGCAACTATGGCAAATACCCCCCCTATGAATGACAGTAACAAAGAAACGGCCCCCAGTCCCCGGCGGCCTCGCTATTCCTGGCTACGGTGGCGACCATGGTAACGGCGGGGCAGGGGGTGCTAAGAATCTCCGGTGGAGGTTCGGTTGCCACCTTAGACGACTCGACCTGGCAACGTACAACGCACGCACCCTGAGGACTGACGAGAAGATCGTGGAGCTGGAAGAAGAGATAGCCAAGTTGCGCTGGCATATTATAGGATTATCCGAAGTCCGAAGAGAGGGGGAGGACACGGTAATCCTCGAATCCGGCAACTTGCTCTATCACCGGGAGGGCGACCATCTGTCCCAAGGAGGTGTCGGATTTATCGTCCACAAGTCTCTCGTTAACAACGTTGTAAAGATCGGGAGTGTGTCGACGAGGGTTGCGTACCTTATACTCAGAATCACCAAACGGTATTCGCTGAAGGTCATAGAGGTTTACGCACCAACCTCGGCACACCCCGATGAGGAGGTGGAGGAAATGTATGAGGATATCTCTAGAGCCATGCATTCCTCCAAAACCCAATATACGGTGTTAATGGGAGACTTCAATGCAAAACTAGGCACAAGAGAGAACGGTGAGCTGAAAGTAGGGAAATTTGGAATAGGGCAACGGAACCCAAGGGGCCAGCAGCTGGCCGACTTCATGGAGAAAGAGGGACTCTTTATGATGAACTCTTTCTTCCAGAAGCGGCCCCACAGGAAGTGGATCTGGTCGAGCCCCGACGGTTCGACAAAAAATGAGATTGACTTCATTATGACGACCAGACGACAACTGTTCAGTGATGTCTCCGTGATCGCGAGGGTGAAAACTGGTAGCGATCACCGAATGGTTAGAGGCACACTGAACCTAAACGTTAAGTTGGAGAGGTCTCGTCTAATGAAGTCAACGCTCCGTCCCCCTCGTGCTCTGTTCCAAAGTCCCGAAACCTTTCAGCTCGAGTTACAAAACCGTTTTCAGTGCCTAGAAGACTGCAATGAAGTGGACGATATGAATGACAAGCTCGTGGAAACTGTCCATGCGGTCGGAGCTAAGTTCTGCAAGACCCGCCGCAGAAGAACACAAAAACTCTCCGATCACACTCTTAATCTCATGGCTGTTAGACGGGAGATGAGGCTACATTCTTCAACAGACTTGACAGCATACAGGCATCTGAACAGACAGATCTCCAAATGCATGCGGCGGGACTTACGCAACTTCAATACAGCTCGTATTGAAGAAGCGATCGAGCGGAACCAAGGCTCCAAAGTCTTTGCCAGAGATCTGTCTGCCAGAAAGAGCCAACTGTCAAAGCTGAAGACAGAGTGCGGCAGCATCGTTTCCGGGACACCTGAGATTTTGAGTGAGATTGAGAGGTTCTATGGGCAGCTGTACACGTCATCGTTGGGGCCACACGCAAGTGTGAGTAACGATCCAAGAGCGAGTCTCATCCGACACTATTCCGAAGATATCCCGGACGTCAGTCTGAGCGAGATTAGAATGGCTCTCCAGCACCTTAAAAACGGTAAGGCCCCAGGCGAGGATGGAATTACAGCGGAGCTTCTGAAAGCGGGTGGAAGACCGGTACTTGAAGTCCTTCAGAAGCTCTTTAATTCCGTCCTCCATGGCGGCATTACACCGGAGGCGTGGAGCAGAAGTGCGGTGGTCTTGTTCTTCAAGAAAGGTGACAACGCTCTCTTGAAGAACTATAGACCGATTTCCCTCCTGAGCCGCGTCTACGTGCTGTTTTCGAGAGTCATTACGAATCGTCTCGCGCGCAGACTTGACGACTTCCAGCCTCCCGAACAAGCCGGTTTCCGAAAGGGCTTTAGCACCATAGACCACATACATACCCTTCGGCAAATTGTACAGAAGTCCGAAGAGTACAATTTGCCACTATGTCTGGCGTATGTGGACTATGAGAAAGCCTTTGATTCCGTCGAAATTTGGGCGGTGCTGCAGTCCCTTCAGCGGTGCCAAGTTGACTGTCGGTATATCGAAGTGTTGAAGTGCTTGTACAGTAGGGCTACGATGGCTATCCGAGTACAGAATCAGAGTACGAAACCTATCCAATTGCAGAGAGGTGTAAGACAGGGTGACGTCATATCCCCGAAACTCTTCACCGCTGCATTGGAAGACGTTTTCAAGCTTCTGGACTGGAAAGGATACGGTATCAACATCAATGGCGAGTACATCACTCACCTTCGATTTGCCGACGATATAGTCCTTATGGCAGAATCGCTGGAGGACCTAAGCACTATGCTCAATGACCTCGATGGTGTTTCCCAACGGATAGGTCTTAAGATGAACATGGACAAAACAAAGATCATGTTCAATGTCCATGTCACACCTATGCCGGTAGTTGTTGGGAGCACTAAGCTCGAAGTTGTTGACGAGTATGTTTACCTGGGACAAATAGTCCGACTAGGTAAGTCCAACTTCGACCGAGAGGTCAATCGACGGATTCAACTCGGCTGGGCAGCGTTCGGGAAGCTACGACACATCTTCTCGTCAAACATACCTCAAAACCTGAAAACGAAATTGTACAACCAGTGCGTGTTGCCAGTGGTGACTTACAGAACTGAGACGTGGTCCTTCACTGCTGGCCGTATGAGGAAGCTCAAGGTCGCTCAGCGAGCTATGGAGAGGGCTATGCTCGGAGTTTCTCTGCGTGATAAACTTAGGAATGAGGATATCCGCAGTAGAACCAGAGTAACCGACATAGCCCAACGGATTAGTAAGCTGAAGTGGCAGTGGGCCGGCCATATAGCTCGAAGAACCGACAACCGATGGGGAAGAAAGGTTCTCGAGTGGCAGCCTCGTACCGGTAGGCGAAGTGTAGGGCGTCCCCCCACGAGATGGAGTGACGACCTGGTAAGACATGCAGGAAGTCGATGGATGCAGGTGGCTCAGGACCGTGCTTTGTGGCATTCTTTGGGGGAGGCCTATGTTCAGCAGTGGACTTGTGAAGGGCTGTAATGATGAATGATGATGATCGTCGTCATCACCCTCGTCATCGTATGTAGAATCCCCTGTATTTATTATAATTTGGTTATCTATGACGGCATCGATATGTATATCTCTGTCCCAATCAGCGAAAATCAAATTTTTTGTTCGTAAAACCACACTTTCCGCGGCAGTAACACTATCACAAGCTTCTTGCAACAATGACAGCATTTTGTTTGCAGTAAACGGTGGGCTGATATTTTTACGAGCCGCATAACTTAAAATAAAGGTTTGCGTGTTAATATAGCAACAGATTAAATGTTAAAATAGGTAAAAATAAATTATAAAAAAGATTTGTTTACATTCTTGCCTTTAATTTGCGCCCAAATCAATTCTATGGCATTGTATTGACAATGGTAGGGTGGAAGGCTCATTACATTGTGTCCGGCTTCCTTAGCCATTTCGTCCAATAAGTATTTTGGTGTAGCTGGCTTATTTATAGCAACCAAATGCAGCAGCTCAACTTTTAACATGGACATGTCAGCAACAATATTATTGTCATTCAGCCATTTCACAATATCGGCTTTTTTGCTGCTAGAAGTTGGAGGCTTACTTATTTATACTGAATGATACGGTGCATTATCCATAATGATCGTCGATGGCTCATTCAATTTGGTCAATAAGGTACAAAACCATTCCTTAAATTTAACAAAATTCATCTCTTCGTGGTATTCCACAGTTTTCTTAGATTTAAACGCCAAGAGGCAGTTCGGAACAAATCCCTTCATGGAACCCGCATGACAAATAATTAAGCGTTCGCTTTTGCCACTTGGTACTTTTGTGGAGGAATGAGGAGTGTCGTCTGTCCATATCTTGCCAACTGTATGATTAGCGTTTAGCCACGTCTCATCTAGAAATATAACATTATTCCAAACGGCAATGGACTTTGCTGATCTTAGAAAATTAAATCTGGCTAAAGCTATATCTTTACGTTCCATCAAAATCCGCCTTTTATCACATTTTTTATAAGAAAAGCTAACATTTTTTAAAACCCTCCAGAAAGAAGTTATATTGTCGTGAAATAGTCCAGATTTTTTTTTATAGGAGAGAGGGCAAACGAGCATGCGGCTCACCTGATGGTAAGTGGCTACCGCCGCCCATGAACAGCTGCAACACCAGGGAGGGAATCGCAGATGCGTTGCCGGCCTTTTAAAAAGGAGTACGCTGTTTTCTTGAAGGTCCCTAAGTCGTATCGGTTCGAAAAAATCGCTGATGGTAATCGATTTCACAAGGAAGTCGTACGAGGAAGAAAACATCGTCTAAATCGCACAGTGGTGGACCGCCAATCATCCAGATGGTGTGGATGGTATCGGGAGTTCTGCCGCGTGAAATTTGGCGGCTGGGATTAATCCGAACAATTCCTCAGAGCACTCCCCGTGGTAGATGCGAAAGAAAATGCAAAGGGATGCAACGTCTCTTCGCAGTGCCAATGAATCGAGCCGATCGGAAAGGACTCGGTCGTCGACGATTCAAGCCGCTCTGCGCTGAATGCGGTCAAGTGGAAAGGGCTGGCACTGGGGAGCCCCTGACCAGAGATGGGAACAGTATTCCATGTGAGGCCGAACCTGCGCCTTGTAAAGTTGCAGGCGGTGTGCCGGCATGAAATACTGTCCCGCTCTGCTGAGCACCAATTTGGTCTTTTCTTCCAAGTGACCACGAAACTGCACGTCACTCGATATGTCGACTCCGAGGATTCCGATACTGGCTGAGGCAAGAAGGGGAGTGCCTCGAAATTGAGGAGATACGACAAAGGGGTTCTTTTTAGCAGTAAACGCGCAAACTTGTCTTCTGAGGATTAAACTGGACTAGATTTAGTCGCCCCCATTCCGAGACTTTGTCCAGCAAAGACTCGACTTCAGACACACGTTTGTTCCGGTACTCGGCGACGTTCTCCCGAGAAATATTGGCACGGCCGGTTTATAGAGCATCACCAGTGCTGTCATCCGCATAGCAATGAATGTTACCACTTAGCAACATATCATTGATATGCAGAAGAAACAGCGTTGGTGATAGCGCACAGCCTTGTGGAACACCAGCGTTAATACGCTTGTAGTCGGAACATGCACCGTCTACAACGACCTTGATGCTCCGATCTGCAAGGAAGCTGGTGATCCAATTGCACAATATTTCGGGAAGCCCATAGGAAACCCGATCGAAGGCCTTCGCAATGTCCAAACTAACGGCCAACGCCTTCCCCTTGGACTCTACTGCCTCTGCCCATCTATGGGTCAGGTAGACCAGAAGATTACCAGCTGATCGACCCCGACGAAAACCGTATTGGCGATCACTAATCAGCTGGTGATCCTCAAGGTACCGCATGAGCTGGCAGTTAATAATTGATTCCATTATTTTGGAGAACAAGGAGGTGATCGCGATAGGCCTATAGTTGGACGGGTCTGAGCGGTCGCCTTTTTTAGGGATCGGGTGGACAAAAGCTATCTTCCATGAATTCGGGACAACGCCTTGGGATAGCAGTACTGGAAAAGACGCGTTAGGACCGGTGCCAACTCCGGAGCACATGTCCTCAGCACAATTGGGGGGATTCCGTCAGGCCCACTCGACTTCTGTATGTCCAGGGAGAGGAGTGCTTTGCGAACCGAGCGCTGTGAGAACAGCACATCCGGCATGGAGCACTCACACCGCGGGATGATCGGCGGTGTTTTCCCCCCATCATCAAGAGTCGAGTTGGACGGAAAAATCGAGCCTAAAAGGTCAGCTTTGTCTTTTGCGTCTTGGGCCAGTGAGTCGTCCTCCCTGTGCAGAGATGGTAGTGATGGTTTACGGAAATTCCCTTGGACAGCCTTGGCGAGAGACAAGAATGCACGGGTTCCCGAAGGAAGGCGAACTAGTTTCTCGCCAATTCTGCCTATGTGCTCTGACTTTGCCTTGGCAATAACTCTTTTGAAGGACCTGGAGGCGAAGCTATACTTCTTTTTAAATGTGCTGGTGTTTACATCCCGAGTCGCCGAAGCCGCAGCCCAGGCTTGATAACACTCCTGCTTACTGCGTAATGCAGTCTTACAGGAGCGACCAAACCAAGGCTGAGATCTACCTCCGATGGGTACCACAGATGATGGAATAAATAGTTCCATTCCCTGTAGCACCACATCAGTGACAGAGTCAGCGACAGCGCTGGGATCATCCGGCGAGAAGCAAACCCGCCCCCATGGGTACGATGCAAAGAAAGACCGCATTCCGTCCCAATCCGCCGACTTGTAATGCCAAACACGGCGGCAACCTGCAGAACGTAACCGCGAGGGGAGCGTGAGTGGCACCACACTCCGGATCAGACAATGGTCCGAAGAGCCGAGAGAGGCATCGACGGAAACCAGATATCCGTCCGGATGAGAGGTCAGCAGAAGGTCCAACAGGGAAGGTGTATGATCTTCCACATCTGGAATCCGCGTAGGCGAAGTAACCAGTTGTGTCAGACCATATGCCAAAGCAAAGTCATAAACAGATCTCCCCGCATGATTGGTTAAACGTGAACTGAGCCATTCGGCGTGGTGGGCGTTAAAATCGCCAAGGATCACGATCTCCTCTCTGACATACACGCAAACTCCAGCCCGAGGCACAAAGGAGTGCTCCAATTTGTGCCCCGAGCAGTTATGTTTTGAGCGGAATTTTTCAAATAACAGTCAAAATTTAATAACAACGAAAGAATTATCAAACAGTTATAACTACATAACAAGAACGAAATAAAAACACAACACAAAATCAACTAAACTGAACACGCGTATCGTATACAAGCCTTCTGCACTCGTACTGAAGAGACAAACAAAATGGCGGTCGTGATCACGAGGTGGACGCAGTGTTGACAGATTTTCACTCGCGAAAAGAATCTGTCTATAAACGATTTTATACGATTCTTTTAGTCACGTCACTATGTAAAAAAGTAAAAATAAAACTAGAACGTAAACGCAAAACGGCAATAAAATATTATTATCTCTTAAAGTTTTAATTATTTTGAGCACGACGTCTAAAAACAATATGTTGATTGTGTGTGTGAATTAATTGTATAATGATTTAGATTGATTTTGTATTTTTAAATGATGATTTACGACCATGAACAAAAATGATTATTATTTCAAATTATGCGAAACGTGAAGAGTTACGTTCTAAGAAGTGTCAAAAGAGACTTCGTAATTGGAATAGAGTATAGACTCCACAGATTTAGTAATTCATTTATGGCCCAATGTATACGCTTTTACAACAAAATCCCAGAAAATGTACAAAATTTGTCAATAAATAAGTTTAAATGTTTTATTAAAGAAAAATTGTACAAAAAAGGTTATTATAATATCAAAGAATACATAAGTGAAAAAAACCCCTGGGAATGAGGTGATTGCCACCACGCTGGTTCTATTAAAACTCATTTAAAATTTGTATAAACAAGAAAAAAAATTAAAATTATTATAAAGTGAAATGTTTTAAGAAAATAATCCTGCTGGGTTTCTTGCTGGTTTTTCCCAGGACAGAGGTAATTTCTGAACCAGTGGTAAATAAAAAATTACTTTCAATAAGTATTATGTAATAATCTATATTGAATAAAATTATTCTATTCTATGGTCCTTCGAGCCAGATATATAGATTACTATTACGCTAATATAATATATAGCTAAGTTATGTAATAATAGGTATGTAGAAAGATGTACATAATAGCAGTTTGTATTATCAACAGGCAAAGAAGAAGTAGCGTCCATCCTACTTGACCATAATGCACCTATTGAAGCAGAAACCCGCAAAGGATTCACACCATTACATCTAGCGGCAAAGTATGGTGATATTGGCGTTGCGCGATTACTTCTAGCTAGAGGGGCACAGCCTGACGCACCAGGAAAAAGTCACATTACACCATTGCACATGGCTACATATTACGGACATCCAGATATTGCGTTATTGTTACTTGATAAAGGTTCGTGTTTGCTTTTTTATAAGTTTTGTTCTTTACTTTCTACAATAAAGAAATACTTTTTATTTATTTATAACTACCAATATTTCAAAAAGTTCTGACTCAAAGTTTATTATCACTCTTGGCACTTTATTGGAAATCATTGAACGGACTGGAAATCAGTTATATTTTTCAATTGTATTATTAAATAATAATGATTGCCCTTTTTTACTTGTTATTATTTCCGTATTTTTTCCACATATAGGAGCATCTCCTCACTCCCTGGCGAAGAATGGTCACTCAGCTTTGCACATTGCTTGTCGGCATAATCACCCTGATATAGCATTCGCTTTACTCGAACACGGTAAATATAATTTAATTATTATTACAAAATAAATATAACACACTAATCTTACAAAATTCAAACTTGGTTAAATAAAACTATGTTTACGGATTTTATCGCGATTAACTTACTATTTTATTTCCCGACGTTTTAGGTGCTTTACAGCAGTAGATTGAAAAAAAAAATTATATTCAAAAACTGAAGGTTAACCGGGCTAACTATTACATCGGGACGTAATATGTTGTGTGCAATAAAGAATATAAATAAATAATTAAATAAATATTGATGACAAAGGTGGTTTACACCTTGTAGAGCCATGTTGCAGCTATATCACTGGTATAGTTGTAGCTTGAATGGGTCGGCTCGACCGGGGAAGGACCACGCTCTCACAGAATACCAGCGTAAAATAGCAGCTTAATGCTGCCGTGTTGTACTGGTGAGTGTAGAGAACCGGAGACCCTTTTTACTGGAAGGGAGGCATTCCATCTTAGTCCTCTCAGGTGACAACGCATCTGCGTGTCTCTCTCGCATCTGCAGGAGAGATGTAGATGTCTATGGGTCACAGGAACCACTTACCATCAGGTGGACTGTGTGCTCGCTTGTCACCCTTATCGTATAAAAAAAACAAGCACACATTCCACCTGATTGTAAGCGGACGTTGTGACCGATAGTCATTTACGTCTATCCACGAGTAAAAATCAATATGCAAAATGAGTGGTAACTTGTGAGTACTTAGATGAAATGCCTAGTTCATTACCAGTGAAAAGTATCTAAGATTCTCTTTGCCCTCCATACGTAGCAGTATCATCATTACAGCCCTTCACAAGTCCACTGCTATAGGCCACCCTCAGGAATGCTACCTGCATCCGCCGATTTCCTATATCCTTACCAGGTCGTCGCTCCATCTAGTGGAGGCCCGCCCTACACTTCGCCTTCCAGTAAGAGGCTCGAGAACCTTTCTTCCCCAGCGGTTGTCGGATTTTCGAGCTATATGGCCGGCTCATTGACACTGCAGTTTGCTAATCCGGAGCAGTATCCTATAACAAATTTTTAAAAGTTGTTATGTTTTAAATTAACGGCTTCAATCACAAATTGAGTTGATCTTAGAAAAATCTAGCCTGATATTTTCGGTATAGTTCCATACGAAACATTTTCTTTGCAGACGCAGATCCGGGTGTAAGATCAAAGGCAGGATTTACTCCTCTGCATATGGCGGCACAGGAAGGACATGAAGATTGTGTTGAAATGCTCATAGAAAGGGGGGCTGATGTCAATGTTCCTGCTAATAACGGTAAGTTTTGCTCAATTTGCTCTAATTATTATAAGACATATATTAAAAACTTGCATTAAGGGACTTATTTTATTTTATTCGAGTACATACAAGCTAATTGTCCACCTGATCGTTAGTGGACTACTGTGACTTATCAAATACGAAAGAATTATCTAAGAGGGTAAAACTAATTGAATATATTTTGCTGTTGAATTTTTCTTTCGCCATTCCTCATCCGCCAATTTTCAAAGTCAACTGCTAGACATGGCCTGTCCAGTTGTAGAGAGGTTTTACTATAATTGACACCCTTGGCATGCGTATTGGCGATCGAAGTACAAGACGTCTTGAACATTTGATGCTGCTTAGCGTTTTCAATTATATGAATCTTTTAAAACTACAAAAAAACATTGGAGAATCGATGCTAACTTATTCAATATATTAAACCTGAAGTAGTGTTACACAGATGAGAAATATACTTCCAGGGACTAACAATTCTCTGTTAAACCGAATTTCTTCTGAATTGGTCATATTTACAGAATTGCTTGGTATTCAGACTTGAGTTTCAAACACACGGTAAAACACTTTATAAATTTATAACACTATAATGATAATATAGGGCCTTTATTGATTCCTGACTTTTTCGCGATTTGTTTAGCCTTTGTGCTGACAACAGACGATTTTTAAACTTACCGATTTAGTTATGTACTGTATTGGGTGTCTATTAAAGTTTTGAATGGCTCGTTGGCCTGGGTAGTAAATGCGCCTGTTGATCATAGGGTCACGGAATCGAATTTCTAATTGGACAAAAACTAGCTATTGGGCTTGCTGGACAAAAATTCTTCCAGAGCTAAAGTCACGAAGTTAGTGGTTTTGAGTGAGGAAATAGAGAGTGCACTCGTATACTGTCACTAATACTACAATTTAAATTTAAAAAAATGCTCGATGGACCAAATGTAGAGATAATCCGGCTTGAAGGACCAAATGTGAGTCAACTAGCTATCTGATGTGTATTAGTATGTTAACTGTGTGTGTTGAACTATTACTGTGTAGTATTTTCGTGTACTGTAGTAGCTAGATGACTATACAGAAATACTAAAGGGACCTGTTATCTTACTGTCCTAACGTCCTAAGATCAAAAAATAACCATTCTACCACCTAACAGCCCTAGCTCTAGCCATAAGTGTGATGATATATATCTACATATATACATATGTGCAGGATGCCTATACTATAATACCTAAGGTATCAGACGGAATATGGGTAGGGAATGGGTACAAAGGATTTTCTCACTGCCAATTGTGCAGCCTCACGAGTCCAAGTATCTTGGCCACATTGAGAGTGGCCAATAGTAGAGGCGAACCCCGACACATCGATCAACTGCAGTCTTCAATGAACCAGCGTCGAAGTCCTAATCCAATAATTGTTTACTTATAAAATTAACTAGCTGTCCCCCGCGACTTCGCCCGCGTGGAATTTACTACGATTTCATGAGTTTTCTAAAATAAAAGTATTCTCAGTTACTCCCTACAACATCAGCTATCTGTCAGTGAAAGTTACGTCAAAATCGGTTCAGCTGTCTCGGAGATTAGCCAGAACACACAGACAAAAATTTTAAAAATTGTTTTTATGTTATTAGTACCGTATATACTTTCATATGCATTTAGTAAAAAGCTGTTATTTTAACATTACAAACGGATTCTTCAATTTTATTTATTTGTTTATAGATGCATAGATAATGTACTCCTGCACGGCTAGCATGGGCTGGGGACAAAAATTTTATTTCCCGATTATATCCACTGACAAGAGATAAAAATGATCTTGTCCCTATGTCAAAGCACGGTAACGGGGAGAAGTATATTCCCGTTTGACATAACGAGTAGATATATATCCCCCGTCCGTAGCATGGAGCCAAATTAAAGATAAAATATTATGCTTTTTTGACATTTGAAAGGGACAATTCTATATCCTAGTTCATTGGACATGGGCTTAAGTTTATATTCATACAAAAAATCTATCTAAGTCTAAGTCTATCTCCCAATTTATCTACTGTAAATATTATATCCACCGGTGTGCCCATTCTCGAAGGGTGGATAAAACTAAGTGAGGGGATAAACATTTTCTCCTTTCCCCGGGGATAAAATTGTCTCCTGCCCATGCTATCCCTGACTGAATTTCGATCACAGAGTCTCAACGAAACCTAACTATCTGCGCAAGGTAGTGCACGAGTGTTTGCGCACACACAAGTGCGCGCACTCTCTGTTCCCTCACCTCGCTCTCATACTTTGGACCAACGGCTTTTTATGCTTTACGAGCCACCGGGTTGAAACACCGCTGACTTGCTGACTCTCTGCAACTCAGAATTTCTTGACAGAAGACCCCAATAACTGTTTTTGGCACTGCCCGGGAGATTCGAACTCCGGGACCACATGAGCAGCAGTCGCGCTTACGACCACTAGAGTAACTAGGCGTTCGAATAGGTAATTTACAAATGACCTAACTATTTATAATAACTTATTTCTATGTGTGAGTTATCAGAAAGATGCTGCTGCTTATCTTCTGTTTCAGTTTCCCTCTGTCGCTTCTTACGACACCCACGGAACGACATGGGGTAGAGGATATTCGTACACCGCCACCACATAGTCTCGTGATCGCTAGTATTCGTCCATTATTGCCGATGGTGTATAGACCCCATAATGGGGCTATACACCATCGGCCATGATTGTCACAGTCATTGCGCTTCTGTCCACACAATAGTGCACCCTACATATTTGTATTGTCATCTGTTCGAGATGGACGTTGAAACAGTAGCAGCTGCCGTTACATATTTTATTCGTTTATAATATAACTATTATTTAAATGTACACCATAAAAAGTGGTGAACATAAGGAAGCAAAAAAGGTGGATGTTAACTATACACCGAAATGAAACAAGGTAAGTTTATAGAGCATCGGCGTCGCCGATTCGGCGATCATGTAGACGCGCGCACGATCATGGCCAAACTTCCTTTGATGTTTGTCCAAAAAAACCGACACAGCGGCCATTACGCTCGATCATCACCGATCTTGGGCAGTTATAGGCGATTACGTCTTCTACACGATCGCGATAGCTACAATTCGTCCATCATGGCCTATGGTGTATAGGGCCCATTAGGGTTGTACTACTGGGAACTAATAATTGGATAGGAAACTATCACCAATTTCGTACGAAATTGGCGTGTGAATGATTTGATGTAGATCCTCCCTATAAGCCTGCTTGCAAAATAAGTCCTTCACTTACCATCGTCATATTTGGGCCCATTTTAGTCGTTATAGCGGTCAAATTACGAACTCACTTAATATGCTGATGCATCAAGTAGGCCCGTTATAATTTCACGTATTGTGACGGGCAACTACGGAATCCAACCTCTCTATGCGTGGCCCGACACGCATTTAGCCAGATTTTTTTTTCATTATTAAAATTATAGCTTTAAAAAACGTAGTCATCGTTGGTCATTGTTAAGTTAAGGTTTTATGAAGCAAATACCTTTAAGCATTGACTTATATATTACTAGCGTAAGAACCGGGCCAACCGCGCAACTAAATAGCACAAATGCGTTGCCCCTAAAATATGATGGCTCTAGTACACGTTGGCCGTTTTGTATATATTTGGCGTTTGCGGCCAACGCTCGCCGACGAGCCGTACACACACACACACACACACACACACACACACACGCACGCACGCACGCACGCACGCACGCACGCACGCACGCACGCACGCACGCACGCACGCACGCACGCACGCACGCACGCACGCACACACACGCACACACACACACACACACACACACACACACACACACACACACATACGCATGTATATATATAAATAAATATTATATATTATGAAAAAATATATAATTCAATATAATATATTTTTAATGTTACTTATATGCATACCGACACATTACGATTTAATAATTATGGAATGAAATATTGATTCATTGTTCATTGATTGATTCTCACAATGAATCAGTTATATGTAACCCCAAACATGAGCAACATAAATATAAAACCAGAGTAAGTAACTTGCCTAACTGCATTAAATAATACATGTTTAGTTGCGATTTCAGAGTACCTACCTAATGATAAATATTATTATAAATTATCTCTGCGTTTATGTTGCTCAGGGATAATGTAGCTTAGGGGCTTCTTTTGGGCTATCATTTATTTTGAAAAAACCCCCAGCGAAGCGGGGTCTGCTAGTAGATCCTATAAAGGTTTCTTTTTCCTTTTGAGGTCGGAACCCTAAAAAGGACAAACTGGGATTATTGTTGTATGTGTAGTTTTTTTTTAGTTCACTCTGAGAAGAGTGAAGCGCTGTATAAGTATATGACAGCGGCCGCGATTGCCCTAACGTCCATCATCATCTAGCTACCAACGCAGAATGAATCACGCCAACGTGTGAACGGCACTACGAAAATCTGCCGAGTGCGCTCGCCAAACGCGCTCGGCCAACGTGTACTGGATGGAGCCATGACAGTTTAGGGCCAACGCGACTTTAATTTACGCCAGGGTTGGATTCAGACCCTCAAAAATATTGTACATCTAAAATAAAAATATAACATTTTTCTAAAATTATACCACGTTTAACATTTAATGTTTTTTTCCTATGCGCCGGGATTTTTGCGTCACGCTTCTAGCGTATCTATACGTTTCATTTTTTTTGCCGTCTTTGTTTTGAATTCAAATAAAATTGTATTAAGATATCATGTTCATAGCAAATTCAAAAATATTGCTATAAACATGATATCGTCTCTGTCAGAACGGCCGGGTAGTAAAACATCATATGAAGTATTTCCGCCTACCCCGTCCTTGGCTGATTTAGTGTTGCCGAATATACAAAAATTATCCATATTGTAGGATACATATTAAAAAGTAAAAGGATCACCAATAATACAAGTCGGTCGACCTGAAGATAAAATTATGATATTTTCGCTTAGTACAGTGGCATAGTACAGTATAAAAGTTAAGCACCAAGGTAAGAGTGAAACACCCCAACATAAGGAACTAAATTACTCTCTAGGGTAGTTTCACCACTAATTAATGAAATAGTATTATTGAGAAATATATTTTTATTTTTGTTTATTATTTATTTTATTTATTACAATACTACATACTACACCCTATGAATAATTATTATACTTCGAAATGCAGCCCCGGTTACGTCGTCGACCAACGAGGCACTTGCGCGTCGCTCATGTAGTTCGTATGTGTTATGACAAATGGTGTTACTTTTGTTTGTATGAAGAAAGTACAAGCAAAATGTTTAGATGGGCGTATCCTTCTTTTTGAAATCATTGCCTTTTAGGCTTTTTTTGATTTTAAGAATACACAGTAATTCCAAGATCTCAATTGTCAATATATAATTCTTTGGTAGATGATTCATCATTTTAATATAGCTTACCTGTACGCGCCTACGTCGTACCGGCAATTAAATATTATTATACTGTCTGTCTGTATGTTAAAGCGTTATCTTGGTGAAATAAAATCATAGGAGGGCGTTATTACCAACATTTTCCTCGAAAACGGCCATATAATTGTTATTACACCATACCTTGAGGTAAAAGAATCCTTTAGGTAGGTACTTCATTTTGTCCCGTGGGTGTATGTATCACGACATTCAATAGTTGGCGGTGTACCCACTCAGTTTACGCTAGACGTTAAATACCCAGACCAATGATGGAAAGCAGCATCAAAGGCAGCAAAGGTACGATAAGTGTGCTAACCAAGCATGACGATATGGTAAATTCTTCCCTACAACGGTAGAGGCTGTTATCTAGCACTCGGCTTTTACTTTTACTGTAGCAATAATACATTTATTATCGAGCACAGCTGGCACAACCTATGCTTCTAAGGATTGATGCAAGGTTTTTAACGTGGCCAACGTATAATATTAACTTTTAGCTGCTGTGTTTCGTATGCTGAGTATAGAAACAGAAACTTTTATTCAATATAGATTATAAATAATACTCATTGAAAGTCACTCTTTCAATTGAAAGTCACAGTTTAATTACTAGTGGTTCGAAAAAACCTCTGTCCTGGGAAGAACCAGCATGAAACCAAGCAGGACTTTTTGAAAAAAAAAATCAACTTACAATCGTGTATGTTACACAACAACACAGAACAAATTAGAAATAGCTTGGTAGCGATCACCTCATTCCCAGGGGTTATTATCATCTATAAATTTCTTAATATTATAATAACCCTTTTTACACAAACTTTGTTTAATAAAGTTATTGAACTTTGAGCAGATCAAATTTTGTATATTTTATGGGATTTTGTTGTAAAAGCGTATACATCGCCCCAAGAATGAATTACTGACTCGATGGAGTCGAGTAACTGGTACTCTACTAGCTTGTGTCTGTTCCTAGTATTTACAGAATGAATATCACTTATTTTTTTATAATAGAGAACCGCAGACCCTTTTTATGGAAACGAGGCATTTCATCTTAGTCCTCAGGGGTCACCCCGAATCTGCATTCTGATCCCTAATCGAAGATGGATGTTTTTCCATACCTTAAATTTACTCAATGTTTTATTTTTATAATATAATATTATGTACTCAGCGATTATTCTGATTCTCAGTAGATATTATATTATATTTACGTAGTTTAATTAGATGGAAAGTGAATATTTTATATTTTTTACATGGTAGAGTCATGTTACTGATATATCTGTATGGTCGGCTCAACCGGGGAAAGACCACGCTCAGAATACTAGCGTAAAGTAGCTGCTTAATACTGTTATGTTTCGTAAGGTAAGTGTAGAGAACTGGAGACTTCTTTAACTGGTACCGAGGTTTTTTTTATAGGATATGGGTGATAAACGAGCATACAGTCAGTCCACCTGGTGGTAAGTGGTTGCTGTGGCCCATAGACATCTACATCTTCGATTACGAATCAAAATGCAGATGCGTTGTCACCCGTGAGGACTAAGATGGAATGCCTTTTTTTCAGTAAAAAGGATCTCCGGTTCTCTACACTCACCATACGAAACACACAAATACAAAGGTATTCTATTATACTCCTCAGGAGTTACAACGCATTGACATTTCGACTCTTAATCTAGGACAGATGCAGGGGCTATGGGCCACATCATCCACATACCCAGTGGCGTAGCTACCCAGGAGCTAGGCGGGACAGTGCCCCGGGGCCCCCAAGCTAAAGGGGCCCCTCGGCCTCCAAGCTAAAGGGGCCCCTCGGCCTCCAAGCTAAAGGGGCCCCTCGGCCTCCAAGGACGACGTTCGAAAAATTATGTATTATCCTAATTGTATAAAGAATTTTCGAGTTTTAACTTTTTGGCTCCTCATCGCGAACGGCTCGAACTGAAATCACAAAAATGACTCCCACTTCCAGAACATACGAATAAATATAACATTGTTAAAGATAATTGTCTACTTCGTTTTATTGTCTTTTTATATAGAAGACAAACGAGTATGCGGCTCCCCTGATGGCAAGTGTCGACCACCGCCTATTAACAAATACAACACCAGGAAAATTGTAGGTGCGTTGCCGGCTTTTTAAAAAGGAGTAAGCTCGTTTCTTAAAGGTCCCTGATTCGTATCGGTCCGGAAAAATCGCCGGTGGTAAACGATTCCACAAAGAAATCGTGCGAGGAAGAAAACTCCTAGTAAATCGGACAGTAGTGGACTACCAAACATCCCGATGATGTGAATTTGTGAAATGCATTAATGAAATTTTGTGGCTGGAATTAATCCAAACAATTCCTCTGAACACTCCCTGTGGTAAATGCGATAGGAAATGCAATGGGATGCAACATGTCTTCGTCTCGACTTTCGTCTTCGTCGGTCGTCGACGATTCGAGCCGCTCTGCTCTGGATGCGCTCAAGTGGAATCCTGTTAGGCCGAACCTGCCTCTGCCCCTGCCGAAAGCTGCAAGCAGTGTGCCGGCATAAAATACTGTCCCGCTCTGCTGAGCACGCCAAGCGTTTTAGATCAGCATTCCCTTCCAAGTGACAACGAAACTGCACTTTATTCGATATGTTAACGCCGAAGATTCCGATATTGGCCGAAGTAACAAGAGGAGTGCCCTGAAATTGAGGAGTCACGGCAAAGGGGTTATTTTAGTGGTAAACGCGCAAACTTCTGGGCATTGAACGTAATTAGATTTAGTCGCCCCAATCCGAGACCTTATCCTTAAAGATTCGACTTGAGATACAAGTTTGTTCCGGTACTCGGCGACATTTTCCCGAGAAATATAGGCACAACCGGTGCATAAAGCATCACCAGTGCACGTTACTGGCTCGCAACATATTATTGATAAGCAGAAGAAACAGCGTAGGTATGTTCTACGTAACCTTGTGGAACACCAGCATAAGCCTATTTATGTAAATGGAGCATGCACCTTCTACTACAACTTTGCCTGCCGATAAAACTGCCGATCCATTTGCACAAATTCTCGGGAAGCCCATAGAAAGGGAGCTTCGAAAGAAGCGCTTTGTGTCAAACCCGTTCGAAGGCCTTCACTGTGTTCAAACTAACGGCCAGAGTCTCCCTCTCTGCCTCCGCCGATTTATGAGTCAGGTAAACCAGAGCAGATCACCAGCTGAGTAACCCCGACGGAAACCGTACTGGTGGTCACTTTTCAGTTGGTGTCAGCAGCTCATGAGGTTGAGGATCAACCAAGTTGGTGATCTTCAATCTCATGAGCTGGCAGGTCACAATGGTTTTCATTATTTTGGCGAACAAGCAGTCGACTTTTCGGTTATTTTTTTAGGGAAATGGTGCACTAACACTAAAGCTATCTTCTTTGAGTTCGGGTGCGAGAAAGAGTTTTAGAAAAGACTCGTTACGACTGGTACCAACTAGGGAGCACACGTCTTCAGCACAATGGGAGGAACTCCCATCAGGCCCACTCGACTTGTCATCTAGGGAGAGTAGTGCTATGCACACCGAGCGCTGTGTAAATCGTATCGTACCACCCTGAAAGCGAAATTATACTTTTTTTAACGGCGCTTGTGAAGCACTCATTTTATAGCGCGATGCAATTTTACAGGAACGAACAAACTAGGCACCATAGATGATAGAATAAAGAGTTCCATTTCCTGAAGCACCACATCAGCGACAGAATCACATGGGATCATCTGGCGAGAAGCTTACCCGCCCCTGTTCATAAGGGAAGGATGCAAAAGAAGACCGCGTCCCATCCCAATCGGCCAATTTATCGGGCTCTGTGTCCTTAATACATTGCGCACCAAGTTACGGTATATTATCCGTTTAGTCGACTACGAGCGAACGAGAAGTATAGTTCTTTGTTTTACAAACCGCAAATTTTGTTTTCGACAATCTAACATTGATTATATGTTCAATGTGACTAAGAAAACTTTGTCAGCGTGATTCGAACTTTATTTCATATTTCGTAAATACGGAGAATCTTATTGTGTTTAAGCAAATGCTTAAACACAATAACCGTCGTAAATGAAAATACAACTGCGTGGCATATTTACCGCGTCAGCTACCTGCCCAGTGGCGGGGTGCGCTCGCATAATCCCGAGATATGACACAATTTTTGTTCTGAAGTACCGGTTTAGTAGTATGTATACATAAAAGTGTTTGAAGCAAAATATATTGCACGCAGGTTTGACACCGGTGCACCTTGCTGCGGCGGAGGGGCGCACGTCGGTGCTGCGCGCGCTGCTGGCGGCGGGCGGGCGCTGCGGCGCGCGCACTCGCGACGGCTACACGCCGCTGCACGCCGCCGCGCACCACGCGCACCTGGCGGCCGCGCGCGCACTGCTCGATGCCGGAGCTGACGTCACGGCGCGCGCCGCGCACGGGTACGTACACACGCACGCACGGTACGTACACACACGCGCGGCTACACGCCGCTGCACGCCGCCGCGCGCGATCTTTTTGACGCCGGCGCCGATGTCAGCGCGCGCAACGCACGGTTACGTACACACGCACAGGCAATGTGCTTGTTTACCCATAGATACGTGCGCGTACGTACGTGTGGTCTACTCCTAACAGACAGATTCCGTCGGGAGTTTTGGCGGGAACTTGACCGCCGGTGGATTGCTGCTTTTGTTTTATTAAATAAATAGTTTTATAAACTGGATTTTGGTACGTATTTAATATCTGCGCATGTGAACTATGAGTTTTTAGATCACACACGCATATGCACGTATAGATTACGTGCATATGCGTGTGTGATCTACCTCTGGCTTATTCGATCATACTGACAACTATTAATACTTTTGGAAGCTATCAACGACGCAGGATATATTGTAAAGTCCGCACTAATTCAGAGACACTGCTCCTAACCTACCCACTTAATGCTTACTTAAGTCAGATTTACAGCAAACCTGAAAACCAAAAATTTGTGTTTTCACGCAAATATTGGTTTCAATTATGATTACAAAACTAGCCCGCGCTGTAGCAGCTGAGTACTCTACCTCTCTGCGCTGTGCTTAACCATACATATTATACGTAAAAATGACGGCAAAGAAGTACAGTCTTCGTAATAACTTAGACAAATTAATAGTCTACAGCTTCGCGTCATATAATTAAATACAAAGCCTTCTACTTTAATGTTTAGTGTTCTACAGACCTACATACTTTTATTCACACTTTTTACAGATAATAAAAACCTTCCATTGCTGGACATATCTTTAACACGCAGCGTACCAGACTATTTATTAATGTACTACCTACGCCCCGCGGTTTCACCCGCGTCATTACGTGTTGGAGGTGCGCGACATGACCTAGCTCAAGCATTTTACTTACTTACTTATCTTCACGCACAATCCCTGACAGGGTAGCCAGAGAGAACAGATCGCCAAGTGTCACGATCCTTACCTACCTCTTTCGTTTCTTTCAGATTCATTATCTTCTTCATACATGCACGTCTAGATATCCGAGTACTCTTGACCCTCCCCTCTTCAAGCCATTTGCTCACATGGTCTTCGAAAGTTAGTCTCGGTCTACCTCGGCACCTTTTAATATTTACTTTCGCGCTATATATTTTCTTCACCATTCGGTCTTCACTCATTCGCTCAACGTGCCCAAAGCATCGAAGCACGCCCTTATCAATTTTTGTGATAAGGTCATCTTTCAAACCTGCCATATTGCGAATCTCTTCGTTTCGCTTTCGGTCGGCCATCGTAACGCCGCACATTTTACGAAGAGATCGCATCTCCACTGCATTCAACTTACTTTTATGCTTCTTCTGGCATACCAAGGTTTCGCTGCCATATAAAAAAGTCGGTACCAACACTGCGTTATGTATTGCAAGGCGTGCACTCTTCACTACGCTTTGCCTTTTGACTAACGCAGTTAGGGCACCATTGACTTTGTTCCCGACAACGACACGCCTGTCCAAATCATATCTTCCATCCCGGCTGAAAGCCCTCCCCAAGTATACAATTTCATTTACCTGTTCTAGACATTCCTGATTTACTCATATTTCACACTTCGTTTTCTCTTCATCCCTTTCAAATACCAGAACCTTAGTTTTATTAGCATTCAAACGGAGACCTTTAATTTCACATTCCTCATTCATACACGTGACTAATGCCTGCAGTTCTGCCTCTGATGGTGCAATAAGCACTGCATCATCAGCATACAACAGACAATTTACTGTAATGTCACCCAATTTCACACCCAAACAGCTATCTTTCAGCTTCTGTAAACAGGTGTCGAGATACAGTATGAACAGCCAGGAAGACATGACACAACCCTGTTTTACGTCCGTTTGGACGCTAAACATGGGTGACAGGTCACGCCCTACCCGCACGCAGGCTTTACAGTCACAGTAAAGTGACTGCACAGCCCTTAGCAATCGACCATCCATACCATACCGCGGCAACAGTTCCCACATTTTCATCCTTACAACCTTAACAAATGCTTTCTCAAGATCCCCCAAAGAACAGAAAATCTTCTGGTTAGCAGCCAGAACCTTCTCCGTGATCATGCGGAGAGAAAACATTTGATCCGTGCATCCTCTTCCAGGTCTAAATCCGCATTGTGCCTCCCATAGAAATCTTTCCGATTTCTCTTGCATCCTACGTGTCAAAACCTTCGAGTAAACTTTACTTGCTAAACTGGTCAAGCTGATCGCCCGATAGCACCCGCAGTCAAAATGTGAACCTTTACCTTTATATAAAGGCACAATGACTGCGGATCGCCAACCATCCGGACCATCGCCCGTCCACCAGCACAAATTGCACAGCAGATGAAAGCTGTCCCATACGCGAGGCCCACCATACTTGACCATTTCAGCAGTAACTCTGTCTAGTCCCGCAGCCTTACCACATTTCAAACTTCGAATCGCACGTTCAATCTCTTTCATACCGATGACCTCAGTGTCATCGAGGTCCGGGTCTGGCGTACCAGTCATGGCATCACCCCCGGATCCCTCGCTAAGATCATCACACGCATACATTTATCTATAAAATTCGCTCCGTCGCTGCATGACGTCCGATTTTTCTGAGAGGACGTCATTGATTCTCGAAAGCACTTTGTTCATTCTTAAGGCCGTCGCACCACTTCGGGTCCTTCCAACCTCTTTCCAGAAGACCCGCACATAAATAGCCAAAAGGAATAACTTCGTCAGTCCCAATTTAAAGCGCACCCAGAGAAGTCTTGAGTTCACAACCTTATATTCAGTCATAACCCCGACCAACCGAGACGACAGCAGCACCCCCACACCTTGGCAGGCGCTCTCGCTCCCCGGGATACCGGACCATAGAGCTAACGTCCCGCCAGGGAGCTCTTCAGTACCACTGCCATTCCGTTTGGTCTCCGACATGCACACGATATCTAATTCTCTTTCTTTCATTATTTCGATCAACTTATTCGTCTTATCTCTCATGCCTCCTCTAACATTCCACGTGCCAACTCTGCACTCTGTCCTCCACCTTCCGCCGTGTCGGGCTGTGCATGACGAGTGGCGGTCCCCATCGCCGCTTTGCGTGCTGCATTCCAAACCAACGGGGACGAGCTGATGTGCGTCGCCTTGGGGGGACGCCCTAACCCTCGTTGGCATGGTCAGCGCAGCTGTGTAGAATTGCAGCCCTGAAAAGGGTTGGCAGGGGTCGCGACGAGCACGCTTCTACAGTGACGCCCTTGACGCATTTTATAATTGCAATTAAATATTTTATTTAATAGCAATGGATGGAAAAATTGGCATAATTAATGGAGTACTTTTATCTGTCGGCATATTATGTATGATGTAGAGCGAATTTAAGTTTTATCCACTCCCTCCCCCTCCCGGTTGAGCAGTTCTCGCAGTTGTCACCGGGCGGCTAAAGTTATGTGTCGTTCGCGCGCCCAGCCAAGTATTGAATTATTTTAATTTTACATTATCTCTTAAACTATGCGTCCAAATAACATGGTATAAAGAACAAAGTTTATCTTCATAAAATTGTCTTGATAATGAAGTAACTTTCGTTCGTAAGGATAAATAGGCCATGCCTAATAATAACGCTCATAAATCACTTTATTAACTTTCAATATTTTTTTGTCATAAAATACCTAATTATGGCTTATGTATAAGAAATAGACATATGGTATCGCGAACTTTATTTAGACGGAGTAAAGATCTATATTTTTTTAGAACATTGTATTTACGCGGACGCGGATAAATCATTTCGGGAGTGCTTTTTCTTCTGACTTGCTTAACAAATATCCGTATTTTAGGCTAGCTGAGTGATATAGCTTAATGTTAGATAGCCTATACTATTCCCCATGAATCTGGCTATAATATACAAAAAGAATTTTTCAAATCGGACTGCTAGTTCCAGAGATTAGCGCGTTTAAACAAACAAAAAAACTCTTCCGCTTTATTATATTATAGTATAGATTAAAAATGCTTCGTTTTTATTGTGTTTCAGTTATTTCTAAACCGCAATTTACATTCGATTACATACGAAGTTAGTTGTTTTCTTTTTATTAAAGCTATTTTTCATATGTATAAATATGATTTTTAGTTTTTAATCCTTTAACTTAAAATGTATTCAGTCATGAATTTTATAACACCCCCCCTACAATTAGTTTTCTCCGCAGATTATCCGGTTATTGTTGTGTTAAAAACTCTAAAACCTAATTTTACATCCAGTGTACATCACTAATAACTAATTATAATGTCTCTTGTGTGTAGCGTCGTAAGAGAATTCAGTACTATTTTTTTATAGAATTTTGGTGACAAACGAGCACACAGGCCACCTGATGGTAAGTGGTTGCTGTGGCCCATAGACATCTAGGTACATCTATCCTCGATTGCGTATCAAAATGCAAATGCGTTGTCACCCATGAGGACTAAGATGGAATGCCTGTTTTCCAGTAAAAAGGGTCTCCGATTCTCTACACTCACCATACGAAACACAGCAGCGTTAAGCTGTTATTTAACGTTGGTATTCTGTGAGAGCGTGGTCCTTTCCCGGTCGAGCCGACCCATTCGTGCTACAACTATACTATAAATATGGCTGCAGCTTGTCTCTACCGGGCTCTATCACTACACTCTATACTCTACCTAAGCCGCTACCACAAATTTTCGTTAGAAAAAAAAAAGAATTATGTGATTCGACCCTTCGCATGGATATTGTCTGCTATCAACCTAATATAGAAGAATAATTTGCCATAATATTTGACACCCTGACGAAATAAATAGCATTTCCGTTTCCCGTCATCGGTTTAAATATTTTAGATTTTATTTTTAATGAAATTAGTTGCTGGATTTTTCAACATAATATATGTAAGCCCTCACTTAATATGTTATATTTCATTAAAATTGTATCCAGACGTTGAGACACCAGCGACGCGAACGCCTTAATCAGAATGTTTCGCACCGTTGACAGTCACTAAGCGTTTGCAACGCATGCACGCGAATCGGCAGATGTGTTGTTGTTTTCTACCGACTTCAAAAAGGAGACGGTACTCAATTCGACTGTATGTTTTTTATGTGTGTTACCTCATAACTTTTTACTGGGTGAACCGATTTCGATGATTATTTTTATTTGAAAGCTAGTGCTTCACATGTGGTCTTAAGTTGGGTTGATTAAGGTCTGACCAGTCGGTTGTACAAAATTTTAAATTTTAAATTATTATTATCCATTATATCCATTACAGTCTATAAAAAGCCTCATAGGGAAGATTTTGCCATAGTTGCCACGATTGGGTAAGCGTGTTGGCAACCTTCTTTATAATTTGTATAATTAATTCAATTATTAATCTTATTTTTTCTTGGAAGATTTTGGGAGACATTTATACCATTGGTTGGTGAGCCAACAATAAGCATTATTAGATCCAAGAAAGTATAATTTGTTACAATTTCTTGTCTATAGTTCAAAAAAAATCGCGGCATATACCTCCTGATGACTATATACATTATAATATTCAAAAGCCGGAATTTATACCTTTAGGCATTCTATGCCAATAAAAGCATTAAGATAAAACCAGAACGCTTTGCGTTCACGGTATCCTAAAAATTGACTAAAGTATAACTTTTTATTTTTATATCATTAACAACTATTACACCTTGTAAGTTTTGTTATTTTCTATATTTCTACTGTTTAAATTCTTTAGATTCACACCACTGCACCAAGCGGCGCAGCAAGGACATACGCTAATTATCCAATTGCTGCTGAAGAACAATGCGGATCCAAATGCCTTGTCTGCGGTGAGCTTCACTTTAACAACTATTAACAATTTTTTGTTTACTACGATAGTTGAATTGAGGCTTAACATTTTGCTTACTCTTTGGAAACAGAATGGACAAACAGCGTGCGCGATCGCCGATCGGCTGGGCTACATCAGCGCCGTAGAAGCGCTACGCCCCGTCACTGAGAACACTCTGAGTCAAGCTGTTGGTGACAATGGTGAGTACATGAAGTATTATCTAACTATTTGCTATGACGTTTTGAATCTGATAATTGATGTATTCATAGAAAAATGTTGGTTAAGATATGGGCATGGATGTGAAATTAATTATAATATCCGTCTATATCAACAAGGTTTCCGTAATAAGATTAGTTAATCAAGTAATTTTTTTTAATTTTGTATGATTTTTTTAATATACCACGTATTTCTTGCATTGTGCAATTTGAGCTATATTCAAAATTTCAAGTTTGCAGCTCATCGGGAAGTTAGTTTAAAATCAATTACTAAATTCCACCCGGAACGACAGTCAGACAGACGAACAAGAAAGTGACTTAATAAAAACGTGATGAAATGATGTAAAGCTAGTGTATTTTTAAAGAACGATCTGAAAATTAAAATTGTATAGGTACCTATATTTAGTCTGTAGTTAACTAGCAATTGTTACCTACAAGAATAGAAGAGAATCGGAATCTAATGACTTTGACAGGACCTGTCACAGTAAACAACTATTGAGACGTTTATAAAACAGATTATAAGAGGCTAAACTAAAAATAAGAGGAATGTCTTTGCAGATTAAAGTTTACCAAGTGTTTTACATTGCTGTTTGCTTAACGCTGTACGTATTTCAAATCGGCTTTGTTTTAATTTCCATTTATAAACATTTTACATAAATATAATAACTAGCTTTTTGACGCTGCTTCATGTGCAAATCTTAACGGACGCAACAAGTCAAACGTGTTAGTCGCCAACGCAAAACTTTGATCTAAATTCGTGTCGGCAAACTAATTTAATGATATCCGACCGCCGCGCGTAAATCGAAAACTGGATGTCGGCCAGTTAACTACACCGTAAGAAGCGATTCATATATCGCAAAAATACGAAATGTAAAGTGCGGAATTTTGTGATGTACAAATTTTTGAGTCGCTTTACGCATTATACCTCTAATTTTTAATTTAAAACAGTAAATTATAATTTAATTCAATTATATTATAAAGGAATCACATAATATAACCGTGATAATCGTCACAAATTGCGTAGTACGTGAGAGCCTTGAGTCGGCATCAATGATATTGTTAATAGCTGTCTAGCATGTCATAAGCACTGAGTTAAAACATGCCAGACGGTGAAGAAGACATCATGAGAAAATCTGTATGTCTGAGAAATAAAATATTTCGTAGGGCATGTGAAAACTGCCAATACTCACTTCGATAAACGAATCGCTCGATAACCCTGTCAGGAATAAGAGAGACCTTATACTATTCGCTGTATACTAATTCAGTTAATTTATTTAAAAACATAAATATATGTATTTATATATTTGTAAAAATCTTTTTAAACTGTTAACGTGGTTCTTCTTGGTCATTACAACGAATCATTGCAACAACCCCGGATGTAGTCTATAAGCTGTTTGAAATACTATGAACCTTAACTATTCGCTGCATACAAATTTTCCGAACGTAATTGTCTGAAACGAGCGGCACTAAAACTAGTCCTAAAGCGCACAGCGCAAGCTATAACTCGAGACGTATATATTTACATCACAAATAAGAATAACTCGGTCACTGTCGACTCAGAATATGTTCACTGGCTACACACTGACTACTTCAAGTTTTGAGAAAATTAACTTGACCACGGCGGTGATCGATATTATTCACTGAAAGAGTGCTAAATCATTTTAAAATTAAACAGTGAAGGGTTTCATCAATTTTGTGATTATCAATCCCTCCTGATTCACCGTTTGTATGACATAATACCAAGGACAATAACTTAGCATTTATGCAATCAATGCAATTGTGCGGGTATTGTAAGCAAATCAATCAAGAACCGTCTGCGATGCGCCCCACAAACTTCAATACACGAGTCATACATATTTAACTCATATCGCAATCAACAAGACGTTCGATGAGTAATAAATAAATGAACATACAAATTGTGGTTTTAAATTCTTACAATTGGGTAGGGTGACCATATTAAAATTTTACAAATGTAATCAAATTTTTGACTGTCCTGAACTATGGGTTAAAAAAAATTATTGTTCCTCTCGCAATAATGCAATAATAGATAAAAAGTTTAAAATTTTTCAAAATAAAGGAATTAATTTTATTTTCCCTAATGGAATTTTATGTAGCCCTTTATGCAAAGCCGGCAGTGAAGAAAAACATCGTGAGCAAACGTCTATTAAATTAAAATTCCTGCGCGGGCGGGATTCCCTTTCCTCTTCACTTCCCCTTTTCCCTTATAGTACCCCAAAAGAGTACATAATATGTATTTGCGCGTGCACCGATTGAGTTATAATATCTCCTGTGCAGTCGACATGTTGCAAATATTAGGAAATAGGTCGTGTTAGAAAATCTGCCAGTAGGGCATCAATTATGTTGAAAACCTTGCAGTTCTCACTATATAATACATAATATGTTAAATATATTCTTTAATTCCGAAAGAGTTTTAAGGCATATCGAACGCAGCCGCATCACAGTTATTAATTAGCATGAAGCTTGTATGCGTTTCGGATCCGATCGTTATTATCTAATCTATGCACAATTTGTGTCATAAGTCATTGGGCTATGCTTGTGTACAAGCGTTCTGTGCTCAACATTTTTTATTCTTCCTAAGCAATTGTTTAATTTTTTTGATACATGTTTCGTTAAAACTTACACATATTTATTTTAAATGTACTGTGTGTTACATTGATCAGTGCAATTTAACTGGTAAGTTTGCATGTTTTGTAAAACAGAACGCGTAACATACGCCCAATTGCAATACAAATATTTGTCGAACAGTTTTCTGTCTTTGTAAGTACTTAATTGCTTGAATTTAACGATGCATAATACACCTAAATAAAACCTTAATTCCAATAAAATATTTAAAGAACTATGTAAAAAAGTAGGAGGCGTGGTAGCTCAGATGTTCAGCGTTCGCTGTAAATTTCACAGTACCTACGCGAGCAACCCGGGTTCGATCCCCGCCGGCACCAATTAAATTGTTAATTGCAATTTTAAATGCTGATTTACCACGTGCTCGGCGGTGAATGAAAACATCGTGAGAAAACCTGCATGCCTCAAAAATAAGAAAAAAAATTCGAAGACATGTGAAGTTCGCCAACACGCATTAAATCCTGTCAGAAATGAAGGCAGGCCTGTGCCCAGCAGTGGGACGTATATAGGCTGTTAACTGCTGCTGGCTTAACTTTTTTGTGTAAAGAATAGACACTTCTTTTTACTAGTAAATTTTTGTTAATAAAACTGGTGTAAGAATGAAAGTTTAACAAAATACAAATACAATACAATTACAAACACTCACGCCTGTCACCCAGAGGGGTAGGCAGAGACTACGGACTTCCATTTGGCGCGATCCTGACACACCTCTCTCGCCTCCTTTACATCCATTTATCTACGCATACACGCTCGTCGGTTAAGGGTACTCCTAATCTGGCCCATTTTTAATGTATCTCCAATTTGGTCGATAAACCTTCGTCTAGGGCGTCCCTTCCCGACCCTGCCGTTCACTTTTGCAACATAAATTTGCTTTGTCACTCTTCCCTCGTTCATTCTTTCTACATGACCAAACCACCGAAGCATTCCTTTCTTAATCCTGGTCACAACATCATCTTGCAAACCACAATTTTCTCTTATCACACTATTTCTCACCCTGTCATTCAGATTCAGCCCTAGCATACTCCTTAAGGACCGCATTTCTACAGCGTTTATTCTACTCTCATGCTTCTTCTGCCAGACCCAACTTTCACTACCATACATTAAAGTAGGGACTAACACAGCATTATGAATTGCCATACGTGCCTTATTTGACACATTCTGACTCCTCATAATAGCGTGTAGAGCCCCATTCACTTTATTTCCTGCGTTCAAACGTCGTTCTATATCCTTATCATATCTACCATCCCTGCTAAATAAACATCCCAAATATACAAACTCATCCACTTGCTCAATCAACTCCCCTTCTATTCATATTTCACATAACGTTTTACTTCCTTCTCTTTCAAAAACCATCACTTTCGTCTCACTTGCGTACACTTTCATACCGCTTTCTTTCAATGACCAGTTCATTAAAGTAACCATCATTTGCAACTCAGCCGCCGACGATGCAAATATGACTTGATCATCGGCGTACAAAAGGCATTTGACGGTTAACTCACCCATTCTCAACCCATATTCTTCAACTTTGAAAGTTTACAAACAACTGTCCATAAATAGGTTAAACAGCCACGGGGAAGCCACACATCCCTGTCTGACATCTTTATAAATGCCAAACCAGTCCGAGTACGGTCCAGACGGCTCATATCATTCATTGCTCCACATACATTCAGCGTAGCCAGACGGGCCTCCGCAATCCACTTTTCGCCCCTCCGGGAGAAAGGACGTGACGGATGGCGAACCTCGTCGCCGGTTTTTCTCCCGGAGATTCTTCGCGCCCCTGCCCCATTAAAGGGGCGCCGGGAACTCCATTCTTTTATTTCTTGGCTCATGGTGCGAACTAAGGGGTGGTAGATTTTACGCACCTACCATACGGCGAGGATCCGAGTCTATCCTATCGGCTTTGTCACTCGTTTAGCACCACCCGGGGGACACGTGCAGGGTGGGCCTAGGATTAGGTGGTCGAAGCCTACGGACGCGAGCGACTCATCATGGATGTTTTTTTACAATCATTGTTAAACAAGTATACAAAATTATGTTCTTATTATTTTGCTGACAACAAAGTTATAGAATTATTAATCATGGATGTTTTGTTTACAATCATTGTATTTGATATTTTTGCAGATTATTAAAACTTCTAATAATTAGCAAACCAATTACTCAAACAAAATAGTCTTTTATTTTTGTTTTAAAGTATTAAATAGTTTTGGTACTAAACCTACTATGAATACTGTTAATAAATATACTAGAAAAGTTTCGTAACAAATCCTTTGCCTTATCTATGTTTTTTATATTAAATAAAAGTAATAAATCCAAGAAAATTTCAGGGCTTATCTCACTATCGAGAG